TTCGGCCTGCCAATGCATCGCAGGGAACGAGGCTCCGAGAGGTTTCTGCGGCTGGGGAGGCTCTTTCCTTGTTTTGGTCCTTGGGGGTTTTCCGAAAGAGTGCACCCTAATAACCACTATGAGAAGTCTAGGATCCTGAAGGTAAGGTCTCTGCCCTCTCAAAAGAAGAGACACAGAATTTTGACACATCCTTTCTTCGGGCTTGAATTCCTAGCAGCTGGCCGGTGGAGGACTGCATGCTACCGCTTGAGCTCGGCTTCGGGCCGACGCAAATACCATGATTGCCATGATGATTCCGTTCAATTTTTGCCAGGTTCGTATTGTTGTTGTTGACCTTGCTACTGCGACTTCTACTGCTACTACGGGTTTTCTAGTAATACCACTACCACTACCACAACCACCACCACGACGACGACCACGACTCACGACAGACAACTACTCCTTCTCCAACTTCAACTCCTACTCCTACTCTTACACCTACTCCTACTTCTACTCCTGCTTCTGCTCCTACTCTTACTCCTACTTACTAGTACTTCTACTACTACTACTACTACTACGACGACTACTACTACTGTTATTCTCAGTTGTCTTGATCTTTGTCATTACTATTTTTGTATTGCCTTTAATTCTCATTGCTGTTGTCATAATCTTTTCATCCAGGAGTAGTATCGCTCATGGTTATCAGCATGTCTAGTGAGTCTTGATCCTGTTACTCTGATGTCTTTTGTCACGGCTACTATTGCTAGTAGTATAATCACAGTACTGTTGCCAATATCACTAATCATCATTGTACAAACCGTAGTGTTTTTATTGTTGCTTTTGGAATTCTTATCAGTATTGGTATGACTACCGTCGTTATTGTTATTCGTATGTTATTACAATCAGTATCATCATTTGTGGAACTGCGGTGGTTATTATGATCATTGTTGTGTATTCTTGGTCGTTGTTCTGATGGCGACTATCATTATCGTAATGAAGATTGCAACTATTACCAGAATTGCTGTTGTTAATACTATTGTTATTAAAAACATTAGCATAACAAGGTTTATCATCATGGGAACATAATTAGTCTGATGAGTACCATGGTTCTCGCGACTGTCGTCGTCACCGTCGTCGTTTAGTTGAATTTTGTGTTTTTGTTGTTGCTGTTGCTGTTGCTGTTGCTGTTGGTGGTGGTTGTGGTCGTGGTGGTGGTCTGATGATAACTGTTATTGTTATTGTTATGTTTATTCTGATCACTATATTCGCAATTATGATTGGTATTCTTACAATAACTTGTTACACGTAGTAATTATCGAAATAGTAATAATGATAAGAGCAGTTATTATTAGTATTATGTGTATCAATATGATTCGATTAACAATTAAAATGTTATTTGGTTGCTTTTGCTTTCATAATGATCATTCTGAGTATGACAGTTGTGCACTCCCAAAGCCGTCTGGTCAGGCGGCGGGATGCAAAGACACGAAGGCTCAGGGCTCAGAAGTGTCGGGTTCTGGCTTAGCAGTACAGGGTTGGGTTCTGGGTTGAGGGCTAGGTTGTTCGGATGTTAAGATGGGGGGCCTTTCGGGTTAAAAGGTGCTGAGACTGGTGATGAACATGGGCCCCCTCAGAATGCTGCTGAAGCCAGTCTTTTGTGCGGATTCGGGGGTCTTGAGTGGTGACAGCCAGGGAGTTCTTTCATCCGAATTCTGATGATGTAAGGCTGCAAAAGTTTGGAGCGGAAGGCGAAAGCTGTTGGCAAACTGACCACCGAAGGGTCGTGGCTAGCTCTTGCTCTTAGCAGAGGATCCTTCCTTGCAAGTCGATGCACACAGAGGCCCCGGCAGCTCCAAAGCTTCGACCAAAATCTCTGTCTCCACTCACTTGCCAGTCTCCAGGCCCCAGCCCCAGCGGGGGTGGGCCTCCACAAACCCCGAAGCCACTGCAGCAAGACGTCCCGCATCCCAAGAACACCCTCAAGACCCAAACTCCCACAACCCCGTCTAAGCCACTGTCTGAAGCCGTCTCGGAACCCCTCTCTGGAGATGAAAGCCTGGAAGGTTGACACCGACCACATCCTCCGCTGCCGGCATCTGAGAAGAAGGTCTTCCCTTGCATGGGTCCATTGTGACATAGCTAAAAACTTTCAGAAAACTCCCCCTGAAGGCCTTACCCTCCCCGCCCACCCCCAATGCCTAACGAGATAATCGTCCCCTTCTTGGTAGGATCTTGCCGGCCTTGCACCTGGAGCAGCTGTTTCAGGCGAAGGGCAGGGAAATCTGACGGATTGTCGTTTTGTTGGGGTGGGGCTTGAGTTTTTTTTTGGTGTTTGAGTTATGAGGGAGAAGGGGTCTCAGGGTGTAAGTCGTGCGGGTTTAGGGGTTAGGTCTTACAGGCACGTCTGAACGTATCCGGGAGTCCATGGCCAAAGCGCTCCTTCGTTTCTAAGTTTTGCGTGTTGGCTTCCAGATGCAATTGGTCCTGATGGCCGCCCACTCTAGTCACTAGAATCCCCACAAGAGTGCTACCCGCTACACACACACACACACACACAGAGCGTCCTGTGGTGGGCTTTCACCGTGTGGCCTCACTGGGTAGGGATGGTGAAGCTGGGCAACTGCGCCCGCACATCTGAATTCCAGCTTGATCGTAAGCCGGAGCATTTCCCTCGTTCAAACGTGGTTTTCAAGTCTGCTGCAGTCCAAAGGTCTCCAATAACACAAACAGCTAGAAGGTGGCTCCGTGGGTTTGGGAGGGAGTTTTGTAGCCTTTGCGTCTGACAAGTCGTGGGCCTTGCCTTCTGTTGCCCAAGAAAAATCTGCAAGCATGGCCCAGGAATCTGACAAGGATGTCCTCTGTCGCCGCGTTTTTCTGTATCTATCTGCCATGACATAAAAGTTGGTCGTAATCACACCAAGGCAACGGGAACCAATCAAAAGTAGGCCATTACGAAGAGATCTTATTTGCAGATGACGATTTTTTTGTACTCATACGCACTCGATAAACAAGCTCCTGCACCAAATCCAACAGTAGTCAGAAGGATACAGCATGAAGTTAAATCTGGACGAATGTGTTAAGCTTATGTTCAATCAGTGCCAGTCTTCAGTTAAATTCATGAATAGAAATCAAGTGCCAAGGAATCGCAAGCGACATACTTGGGTGCCACATTGACAGATGCAGTAGATAATCGTGACGAAGTTTTGCAACAATGGGGAAGCTGATGACAGCAAGTCAACTTGGGATGCTCTAGTCAGCATTTCGAACAGATGAAGAATGACACTTTGAATGCAGCTGTAACGCATGAAGTGTTGCATGGATTAGAGACAATGCAACTACCGAAGTAGGAGCACGATCGCATACTTGCATTTCAAGCGGAGATGTTGCGATCGACAGGGAATGGACCAATCGGAAAGTACTCAACGAATTACATTTACGAGGCCAACATCAGCATGTCAAGTTATCAGACTAGAAGCCAGCGCAACAAAGCCCGAGTAGGGCTCCCCTTCAGACGACGAAAAGAAAGTACCGGTACGACTGCCAGACCGATATCATTGAAAGACAGCTTCGTCGAACAGCAAGCCAAGAGCCAGCGGATTTTGGGGTGAGACATGCCGAGATGCTTTTCAGGTTGCGCGGTTTCAACACCGAATTTGTGTGAACAAAAACAGCTCAGAATTTAGGGTTCTGGACGGCGAAGCTTCAACTCGAACGGGTCGTTATGTTAACGTCGTCGAATAGATCAGATCATGGAATACTTCAAAGCAGGGGTGGTGCGGTGTGGTGGTCACAAACCTAAGGGCTTGTGATTCTCCGTCACATGTGCTGGGCCGTGCTCAGCCTCGGACAGCCGGCGCGAAGGGAGAGCGAGAGATGGGTGACATAGGGCTCGTGGCATCGTTACGATGTCCATGACGAAGAAGATGTCAGGATGCTGTCCATGGGTCGTTAAACTTAAACGCATGCCAGAGCTTTTGAAACGAGAGGGATGCAGAACGACCCCCTGCCAGGAGGATGGAGACTGCAATGTCTCGGAATCGGCTTCTTTCAACAAGGCAGGCGGCTCTCTCCCAAAGACAAGGGTTTGCTTTTTGGATGTGGATTTGAAGTCTGCAAGTGCTTGAGCCACAAAGAAATCCGTAAAGGTAGCCTCTCGACGCCAGCTTCAACTGCAATTCCCATACAAGTACCCTCCCATGCGAACGTCTTACGTCCCACAAGTCCCTCTTCGACCCCCCGAGCTTCAACTTGCCCAAGCTGCGCCAGTCCCTCCTTCCGTCGGAAATGCCGGGCGAATTCAAGCTTGCCGGGGCCTCGCTGCGAGGTTCGCAGAGTTCTTTCGATGTGTTGTGGAAGACGGCTGGGAGCCATTTTGCATTCTACCGAACCGGTTGTGGCCTCGAAGAATGGCTGCTCGGGTACCTCCAGCATTCTTTGTCGAAATGCCACTTCCTCCTCCACACACTCCCAGAGCCCAAGCCTACAGCTCAGATTCGATCTGAGCTGACGCCCGGCTTGCTGATGGCATCTCGGCTTTCCAGTTAGTTGCAGCGGTTCGGCAGTGTTTCTCGGAGGCGGCGACTTGGGGGTTTTCTCCGCCCTGGATCGGTGCTTCAGGCACTCCGAAGCCCACGAAGCCCAGGTCCAAGGCCTCGCGCTGCGGTCCTCAGAAGCCTCCCGCCGCCGCGCGATCAACTTCCTGTGAGAGCTCCGTTGACGATCTGCCGCACATAGGATGGCAGCGCTTGCCATGGTTTCACCACTGACTTCTGCTGCGGACCGTCAAGAAGGACGAAGGTTGCTCTGGTGTTGACTCGAGCCTTCTTCTAGGGTATAGCTTGATTTGCTTGGCATGGTCGATGCTGAGGATCCAGACGCATGCTTCATGGGCCTAGAACCCGCGAATGTCACAGCCCACGATCTTAAACCACTATGACGCAGGACTCGAAGCGTCTCGAGCCTTTTTTCGTCTCGATTGTCCAAGATCTGCTCGAAAGCACCTCTAGAATGCCTCTACGCTCATGACTGCACCGCAGGTGGCGGAGTTTGTCTTCTCCATGTGGCTCGGCCACAACCGAGCAAATCCTACGCTGGGCACTCAGCGAAGCAACGGTAGATTAACTTCCAGCATCCACAAACACCCTCACGACCCTAAAGGACCAACCCCGAAGAAACCCCTCGCTCGCACGCTTCCTGAAATCATGTTTCCATTGAGAGCACCTAAACCCCAAACCCCAAAAAGCAACCTCTATAGACTCTAGAGCCCCAGTATTAAACCCAACTCCGAAACTCCCTTGAAGCCTGAAACCGAAAGTCAACGAGCTCTCTCCGAGGCCCTGCGTCCTGTACCAGCTCGGTGCGTCCTGGGGCCCCGCTCGGGCCTTAGATCACTGTTTGGGGCATGAGGGGTTTAAGTCAGGGTTTCAGGGTACTGTAGGGCTTTTGCGTTTTGTGCCAGCAGCTTTGACGGCCCAAGCCCTCAGGCCCTGGCTCGCGGGCAGATCTGGCGACTGGTGACTCCCGTCATGTGCCCCGCCTCGGCTTGAAATGCCTGAGATTGATAGGGTTTTGTCTGCTTGGGGAGCCGGAAGCTTCGAAGCTCCCAGCCGTGGCCGCTGCAGGCTCCACGCGAACTTGACCCATCTCCTCTTCAATGCTGCATCCTTGGAGGGTTTGGGGAGGCTTGGGGTGCTAAACTCTTTGGAGGATCTTCGCCAGCGACATGATCCTTGCAGGCTGCTTGAAGCAGATTGAGAATCTCCCCGCAGCAGAAGATCCTCTTGAGTGTAAAGACATGCGGCCACGATGTTGGGCTCAGGGCAGCTTCAGCGGAAAGCTAAACTGCCGAGCTGTAAGCGCTTGCTTGCTCGGTTCTGAGGTGTTCTTCCAGCTCCGAATGGGCTTCGGCATGGAGAGGCCTTCAATTGACGAAGCCTCAAGCGTGCATGTTCCCTAGATCTCTTGGTCAACTTTCGCGCTTCAGACAAAGATTGCAGCCCGAAATCCTGCCAGATGCGGAAGGTGAACCATGTATCATGCACAGAGCAGCATCCCGCTGATCTCCCTTGAACTCCCATTTCATTGGAGCCTTATACGTCTCTATCGCCGTACTGACATCCCATTCAGAGACCCTGCAGGCAGTTTGGGCGAGAGAAGATGATGATGATTTATTTCGCGCAGCTGGCTCAGCCTAAAACCTCGGCGAGTTTCGAGGCTTTCTGTGGAGTTCAGGCGCGGAGGCGTCAGGCAGAAATCTTTGGACCTTCTCTGACATGCTGCCACGAATCGTCGTGTGCTATGACCCCCTCACATGCAGGTGGCTTCACTTCTGCATCACTTGTATGTTTCCGCCGTCTTACCTGCGTCCTTCCAAAGAAAGAAACATTCTACTGGCGGCTGCTCCCGAATGTTAGACTCCCTGAATGATCCTGGGAGCAATCCCGATTTTGAATCAACTCAACGAGTGCTGAAGCCGTTCGCGAAATGGGTCCAGCTGGTAGAATCGGTTGGAACCAGCATGAGCTGCTGGAGCTTGAGGTGTGGTCTTTTCGGCAACCTCATGTCCGTGGCAGTGGACCCCTACAAGCTCGCAGTGCCTTTGCTGAGAGCATGGGGCTTCGGTGTTGAGAACCAAGTCGTCCCTTGTCTGAAGGTCGGAGCCTCCACCGCCGGGCCGGCGGCCCCAGAAAAGGAAGAGAGTGCATGGAGGGTCTGCGCTTCTGAACGTTTGGGACTCTTAACTGAAGAAGGATTACCACGAAAACGACGATGGCAGTGGTGTTGACGGCGTTGGAGCGTGCCGGCTCGAGATGCGAGTTTGTGAATGCGAAGCTTGCATACGATCGCGCCAACCCAACATGTTCGCGAGGCAGTTTCCATATGGTTGATCGCCAAATCCGGATGTAGACGTCATCGTCATCGTGTCTGTTGTTGTGCAGGCTTCGGTGTGTACATATTGTGAAACGCACGAAAACAGAACCAAGTCTCGAGCCACACAACACCGTGACAGCACCAACCTCGGCCAACTCCCCCCTACACATCTGCCTTTCAGGTTCGGGCTGATCGGTGTCTGGCTCGTTGCGGGCTCGGTGGAGCTTGCCAGCAAGACTGCACAGCAAGAGCCCAAAGGGAGGCCGCCTGCTAACATACCCTTGTCCTCATGTGCAGCTCATTTGTCCCGACTGAGCATCCGCGACAAGTGCCCAGCAAACTGAAGAACTCCGAACCCGAAACCCCCAACACCCGCCGTGGATTCCCGCACCCCCTTTAGTAGGACTCAGCCAGCAGACCCCCCTCCCGAGGCCGAGATCCTCCTCTCCTGGGAGATCTTGGGGCCAGCACGCGAGCGAACGGTGATCTGGAGCGTCTGTGGGGGAAGCGGAAGGGCTTTGGGGTGTCTAGTTTTGGGGGGTGTTGGGGTTTTCAGGGTGTAGGGTCTTAGGTCGCGAGGATGAAGATGTTTATGATTTGGATTGCAGGGTTTGCAAAGGTTTTTCTGTGCTCTGCGTGCCTGGCGATCCAAGAAAACTCTGTTGGCTGATCATGCAGTGATTTTCTAGTAGTTAGAATTGAATCATGCGAAGGTGTTTGATTCAAGGATCTGCCTACATTCTGTAGACTCTAGACTCTAGACTCTGGAGGATTGTGAGGGTACATGCCATTTTACGTCCTCGCACCCCGGGTCTCGTGCCTCGCACAATCAGAAGCCAAGAAGCTCGCAACAATGATTGCACTTCCCGCAATCTTAGCATGCTTGAGCCATCCGGCCATTGGTTTCAAGGAGTTTGGAAATGCTGAGACTTAGACATGAAAGGCCTAAAGCATTGCAGCCTCAAAGCTCCAACGCATAGCTCTGAAAATGGACCAGGATCGTTTTCATGATGATCTCGGTGACCACAATGTCGTCCATGACGCCGAACATGGACATCTTTGGGCGTGGGACCCACTGTCTAAGCGTCTGGACAAGATCTCCTCGCAGCGGCTGTTTCCAATGACAGATAACTTCGAAACAAACCTTTCCGGTCGCCAATCGGGAAGCTGATCCCGGCAACCCAGGCGCTGCACATCTGTTCCTTGACCATGAATTGAACCCGCAACTGTGACATCGTACAACCACCCCCGCAACACCGAACCTCAAATGAAGACACTCCCGACCAAGGCACTTGGGAGGAGCTTTGGGTGGATTCCTGCTGTGAGGCCCTCAGGAAGTCTTCACTACGGGCAGATTCTCTGCTGCACGATCCGACTCAGCACCCAGAAGAAGGCCCCAAGCCCAAGCCACATATCACCAGCGTCAGGTGGCGCCACTAAGCCGACTTAGGTCCATCGCCATCAGTGACATGAAGGAAGAGGATCGCCCCGAGTGGTACGACCAGGCTCACCTGCGCCTTGCATATATTTGAGGCTTTTTAAGCCTCATGTCCTCAAGATCCCGACATTGCGGTGCAATGCAGGTCCGTGGTGCGGCTGTGCTTGGCTTGATCATGCTCCTGGGCTTGGGTTGCTGTTCCAAGGTCGGAGATTCAGTGGTAAAGGCTGGGACTGGATGGCTTAAGCGACGTTCCTTGCATCTTTATCAAGCGATGCTATCGTGTGGCGGCGCGTAGAATGTAGCAGCTCAGCACTGCAACATCCAGACATGAACGATCAGGTCGACTTTATTGGTGGATCTCTGTCTACAACTTTCGGTTGCAGAAGGAAAGTTGTGGGCTGCCTAAACTCTACTCCAAGCCGAGGTGCATGGGCATGGGCTTCACCAAGGCGAGCTGCTGTAGACACACACAGATCATAGATCCCCAATCCCTCCATGATTCAGGAATTTTCAATTTCGGGGATCAGTGCAGGAGTGGCACGGGTGAGGCCCTTGCCCAAATCGTCCATGAGGCCTTCATGGTCAACCCCACAGACCCGATTCCCGATTGCCGTGCACTCAGTGTGCGAAGGCCCTCGCATCACCCGTGGAGCCCGAAACCCGATCACGTCCGAAATCCTTCACGGCTCGACTGACCCGTTGAATGAAAAAAGCCCTGGTGTGTTGTTGGAGGACTAGCCGGGCTTTTCCCTTGTTCAAACCACAGGACTCCGTAAGCTTCAGCAATCCGTTTTTCTGGCCGAGGGCTTCCTTTCTAAGGCTCGCATTTCTTGGATGTATCAGGCTGAGGGTTCATTATTCATACCTTCATAACATAACCGTAGCAGTGTGAAAACGTCAGAAGCAAGAAGAGCAGGTGAAAAGCAACAGTGACAGCAAAACCATGAAACATCATATAATCATGGTAGTACTCGTAGTCTACATAGAACTAGCATTAGAAATCAGAATCGTCGTCGTGATAATCATGGTGTAGTCATGGTGCTCATCACTCGCCGAGGCCAGATCTTCAAGGCCCTCAGCGATGCGCTGAAGGCAGCCTCCACGAGCCATGGACACATGGCCTGAGAGGCCGAGGCCGGATTTAGCCGCGGAGCCCCCAAAGATTCATGATCCCCAAAACCTCGAGAGGCCAAAGCCTCCCCGGACGTCCCAAAACGGCTTCTGTCCCGAGCGCTGCATCCTCGTGTGGAATAGGAGCTTTTTCTGTGAAGTCAGAGAAGGTTTCTTCCCCACGTTGCGGGGCCGATTCTGGAACTTGGCATTATAGGTTGATGGCAAAGAGCGACAAGACGGTTGCTGGACTGAGAGAAACAGCGTACCAGGAGTGGTGTCTTCTACGATCCCCACTCTGGCAGGTGCCAGCAGGCTGAAAGCCAGGCCACATGCCTCTGCGGGATGTGGCCCCCGGGCGAGTGAAATCAATCGGTGAAGCGTGAGCCCAACCTTCCAGACGGAGAATCAGCCATAGTAAAGACACATTCGTAGCTAGGTCAGCTTCTAGCGACTACATCCAAGCCACAAGGCCATTATGGATTTTCTTTGGGTTCACGCCGGCACCGCCGCTCGAAGTGTGGCGCGAAAATAAGCTTCACACTTGTCGGGCAGAGCAGTTCCCGAGCCCTCGGTGTCCGGGACGAGGGTTGGGGATTGAGGGCTGCACACTCCAATACGTCAATACGTGTTTCGATAGCCGAGAACGCACAGTGTCAGTCTGTGTTTTCGCTTTGGGCTTTGGCCGCAGGCGAATCAAGTGGTGCGCACAGCGCCTGCATTCGCGATTGTCTCAACGGTGGGTGCTTGAGCTTGGGCGCCAGTTAGCGTGTAGGATTTGGTTGCGCAGGCGACTTTGCTGTGCGGCATGGGGCAGCAATCACCGCTTTGTTCCCGATCTGTCATGCTCGTGGTTCTTTCACAAGTCATGGTAGAAATCATGCCTTCAGTTTCTTTGCTGTCCCTGCCTGCCCCACCTCAAGAGTCGCATTGCCAGCAGCCGCACGCATCCTGCAAAGACGTGGAAAAGAACGGTAAGCTCCAGGCTTTACCATCGCTTTTTCCTTGAGTTAATTAGGTTTGGCAGTTTGGCAGAAGTTATCGGATTCGGTCGCTGCACATGTGCATGACATCAGGGAATCCTGCAATGCAGACTCCTAGCATCTCCGGAAAACAAGGGTTCCAATAGTCGAAGTCCAGTGCCAAATTGCAACGCTCCTGAGTCCCACGACGGCACCGCTAGTGCTGAGTGCTTTCCCTCAAGGGCCACCTGCGCTTCGCTCCTTTATTGACTCGACTTGTTGCTTCAGCTGTTCGGCTCCACAAGAAATCGTCCGCTGATGGCATGACCCTGCTGCGAGTTCTTATATCCCTTTGGTTTCTCGCTTCAGCCAAGACGCTGAATTCAGGCTATTTCGAGCTGTGTTCTACTAGACTGCCATCGCCATCCATTTCAGGCCACGTTCAAAAGGAGAAGGCGAGGAGGAACAGCTCCATCGGACATTCTTGTGAGCGTGGTATCGGCACCATCGTGTGGTATCCGGACAGTTTCCTTCCGAAACAGAGTGCTTAGACGGCAAAAGCCTAAAGTCTCGGCACCCTGCAATCAATGCAGGACGGATCTTCTTTCTGCTGCCCGGCAGACGCAGCATGGTGTGGTGGCTGTGCCGCACCGACCACAGACGGGACTGCTTGCGGCGAGTGCATAGGTGGCTGGACGCTGAGCCTAGGTCACTGTTAGAAAGCTCCTTTGAACGTCAATGGTACTCGTAGTCTTTTCTAAACTCTTGAATTGCATTGTGATGCCGGTCGCAAACCAGGGAGGACGGGCAATGCACGGCCTGTATGGACTATCTCGGCTGGCATGACGAGCACGGTAGGAATTGCTTTGCTGCCTCACAGGGCGCAGACGGCTGCAGCTCAGACCGCCCTTGGGCTGAGAGTTGGATCACAGCTGAAAACTTCTGGCAACAACACCGTTTCCAACATGCAAAGTGGTAGAATGTCTCGTGCAGGTTTCCACGGTGCTTCTGCCAGAACCGCTTGTTGCGGCTGCGGTGGTGGTCTGCGGGCCGCGACTCCGTTTCGATACTACACCGTGCCCGGTCTCAAACCCATTGTAGAGACCCTTCAGCTGCCGTAGTCGGTACCACGAAACCCTGGGCCCCGATGAATTGACGCTGGCTAATTGGCTTGGAGACTCCACAAAACAGCTTGCCGTCAGCTCATCATGTTGCCATTCGGATTCGAGATTGAATTGAGAGGTTCAATAGCGAATCGCGCCAGGAGCCGCTGCTGATTGGGCAAAGCGCTGTGACCGGCCACCCACTTCCACGAACGGCGTCCCACTACTCCGTTGATGCGGACTGCAAGCTGCTAGAGTTCAACCTCACTATTAACGGCAGAACCGGTGCCACATACTGCAAGCAGACACAAGCTAACTCCCTTCATCTTCTCTTTGCTGGGCACTCCGCTGTCTTCTGAGGGCAACTTCAACTCCAACATGGCTGTGACTCCGTCGGGTGTGGTCGAGCCATGGTTGACTTCCAGGTAACCTGCATTGTGACGGCTCATCAAGGTGGGGGGGCTTTCGGCGTTTTGGGCGAGCTCACGAAGTTTTCCTTTGAAAGCACCGTTGTTTGTTGGAGCAAGAAGCTCATAGCGTGTTCAGGCGACTTGGAGGCATCAGCGCAGCTTCACATCCTTGCTTCCAACTTCCTGGTCTACGAAAGCTCGGCCCCCAATGAGTGGTGTGCAGAGCTTCCGAGCATGAGCCCATCGCCCGAAGAGTTCGGCAAAATCCAACAGGTTTGGCGCTCGTCGTGACCGACGGCACGAAGAGATTTCCCGCTCGCTTTCATTTCGGCGCGCATCTTGGAGGTGCACCGTGCAACTAGTGTAAGCACCGATTGTGACCGACTTTCCTCGAAACATGGTAGATTCAAACGTAGAAGCCCATGAACGCTTCAGCCCTAGACACAATCCGTGGAGGCCTGGCCCTCGCGTGCATTCCGACTCCTGAAGAGCAAGAAGCACCATGGCAACTGGAAGCCGACGGGTCCTTGAGTGTCGATGCGTCGCGGAGATCCAAGACAGGACAGCCGAGATTTCTGGGAGCTCGTGCCATGCTGCTTTTTTTGCAAGTGCCCCGCACTAAGCGGAATCCCAAAGACGGAAAAGCGTAAAACCCGCCGGGGTCCTTATGCCTACTTATGCTTCGCTCATGTTTCGTTACTTCAATTGAAGCAGAGCCCAGAGATCGCCATTGTCAGGGCTCACCAACCTGACCTTGCCATGGCTCTCATCGGCGCCAGGGGGCCTTTGCCAGGCATTTCCGGAAAGAAGGGGTGTGTCTTGAGATGATGGGGTTCAGGGCTTTAGGGTTTTGCGGTTTAGGAGTTTTCAAGGTTTTAGCTTGTGAGTTTAGGGATTAAGAGTTTCGGGCTTTGCAAGTCTTGTGGTTTCAGTCGTCTTTCCTCGTGCCTTGTCAGGTCCGCAACGCGTCCAACCAGACATTCAACATGCTGGTCGTTCTGCCAGAGACATGGGCCAAGATTGAATATCCGCATGACACTCTGTATCTCGGTTACCGGTTGTGGCTGACTGCGTCGTTGTCAAGCGTCCGATGTCTGACTTCCAAAAGTGCACCGAACCCGCAAACCCCTAAACCCGCGGTAGAGCCTAAATCTTTGCATTTCGGTATTAGACTGCAAATATCCTTAAACCTTCAGCCCGTAGATCTCTAAACTCCCAACCCCTCGACCTCTAAATTCCCAACTCCTAGAACTCAGAACCCCGAACCCAAGAATCAACCAGGTATGTCACGCCCGGCGCCAGCTTCGGGCCGCCCCTGAACCCAAGCAGCGGGGGCGACGGCCACGTAGCACCCACCCGCTTTTCGGCTCACTGCGAAGCCAAGTGGCCGGGATTGAAGCGCCGGGATTTGGGGGTCTAACCTTTATGGACTCCCTGAACTAAACATAACTAAACCCCACACCCTCATGCCAGAAATCCCGATACATCGAATTGAAGGTTCTGGATGTTTGGAGTTGGGTCTACACTGTGTTGTTCTTCGTACTCAAGAGCTCCAGCCTTCTCAGCCCTCAGTGCGATTTGTCTCAAGGACAGTGGCCATTGATGTTGTTTTCGACGAGCTGACAGGTGTGGCATCGGCGGCTGGATTCACGCTGTTTCATCTGAATGTGCAGACGGGGGCATTGAAGTTGACTCCAGAGGAAAGAGTCGCAAAACTCTTAGATGGGTTTCAGTCGAAATCCCACCGGGGGCGTTTGGAGCTGTCCTGCAAGATCTTAGGGCTCTTCGAGTGGCAAGTCGGGGTGCCCGTGCCGCCTATTGTTGCGAGCGTGGACGTGTTGGTGCAGGATTCAACCTGCTGGCAAGACACACAGATTCCCCAGGCACATGTGGTGCAGACTCTCAGCGGTATTTCAGAAGGAGACTGCCGTGGAGCTTGCCGTTCGGACGTGCGATGCGGGGCCTACAACTGGCAGTCACAGAAATGTCATTTCCTTGCTCCGTGCGGCCCGAATCCCGCCGCCTAGAGTGCCAACGAGAAGACGTTTCAAAAGTTGTTTCGATACAGCCGAAGTCCATTTCGGAACCCCTTTACTGTATTCCACAAACTAACCGGTCTGGGCCCACAAAGCTTGCCTCCAGCAGCTCAGACTCCATCCGCAAGGTTGAGGACTGCCAGCTGTTCTCGGCATATGTGAAGATCACGAACTGCAGCGCCGAGCACACGTGCATGAACCTAACTGGCTCGAAGCCAGTCGCCGAGTGAAAGTTGGGCAGAGCTGTTGCCTTTTTCCATGCCCGCTGCCCCGAGCTGCTAGAAACCTTTATCGTTGCCTGTAGATTCTGCCGACAAAGTGCCGAGGTATGGCTCTACAGTGGCCTCTTCTGTCCCATCGCCTTCGAGAGGGCCGTGGGCTCTTCCGCAGGCTCTGGCATGGCAAAGATTCTTTGGAAACCCGAGTTTTGAGGGCTTCCGGGCTTTCGGGGTCCGCAAACCCTGGCCGTCTTTGCTTCAGGTTGGGTCTTCCGGAAGAGTGTGGCAACGCCGCAAGATGTGTTCTACTTGGCTCCCGAGACGAGTGACGCTGCCAAGTGCGACGGGGGGCTGCTGTTGATCAGGAGACGTGGGACGCCACATGGAAATCTCTTTTTGCGCTTGCTGTGGGTTTGATCCGACAGTGACCGAAAAGAGGAGCAACAGAACCTGGGATTTCGAGAATACAAGCTCCAAGTACATCGAGCTCTTTGGCGAGCACGTTGCTTGCCTCACGGCGGACGTTCCACACGGCGTGGTGCAGGCTACCTTTGACAAGGGCAGGCAGGACTTGAAGATCAAGAACGAGCAGACCTTCATCGGCAAAGGCCGCCTGGATGCGAGAGCCGAGGGATGGGCGCAAGGCCACCCTGCAAGGCCACATGTCCCAAGCCTAACCTGAGCCTAACATTGTCCGGTCTTTGTGGCCGAGGCCTGCAGCTGACCTTGAGGCCGCAGGCGTGCCAGGCTCCAGTCCTGTCGCCGGAGATGTCAGAAGCGCTCATGGTCGACGATCCGAGTACCGCCACGGAGACGCGGCCCTAAGCGTTCTCTCCATGTGTCTACACAGTCTGCTGTGGGCCAAGCCTTAGCATGAACAGCTGGAGGCATCGAACACAGGCGGCAAGGGTTGCCAAGGTTCGGGGATCTGTTAAGCCGTGTAAGCTGAACAGGACATGGACTACACTCTGCATGCCTGCGACTGCTTTCCCGAGAGCTGGACGGGCGACCCGGTGACTCCCAAAAGTGCTGGCCAGCTGCCGCCGGGCAGTGACAACGTGCCCGGGCCTTCAAAGTTTGTAGACGGAGCCAAACATTCGGTTGGTTGCAAGTCAGATCCTGATTCGCAGAACGTACAAGTATCACTTTGGAAGGGTGATGGATGTATGGATGTAGTTAAAACGTTAAACCTGCTTTTTTGAAGGAGTACGTGCCGTTGGCCATTGAGATTGCCAAAGGCTCGTTGGTCTGCGAGCAGGAGTCCTTGCTGGCCTTGTGCCGCCGCGGGGCGGGCTGACAAATATCTATATAATATATACGAGTAACACCTGACTTGCGCGGCTCCTGCCCCGGTCTAAGCCCTGGGCTCCTCCAGGTACATGCTCGACGGGGCGCGCCAGGAGGAGTGCCACCATGCCTGCCAGCTGAACACCAGCTGCCGATTCTTCTGGATGGGCTCAGCTGCCGCAGTATCGCAGTGTCGGCTCTACACAGCTTGTCGGACTTTGCTCACAGAGGTGCGTGCATAGAAAGCCACACGGGCACCGAAGAAGCTGTTCACAACACCCGTGCAGGCAGGTGCCAGTGGCACTCTGGCAGCTCGATCCACTGACAAAGTCTGCCGCCGTGCGGACCCAGAGAAGTGCCTTAATAGAATAGCGATTTGCCATATCTACATGTCGCTAGTGTTGCTGTGGTTGAGGGGCATGCTTGGCCAGTATGCCAAAGCGATGCTGAAGAGACTTCCTGAACCCCGACGTTCTTGCTACTGTTTTTTACCTGTGCAGCGAGCCGTCGGTTGAACAGCTTGTCTCGTTTGATATGCTTATCCAGCCCAGCATCTGACGTCGGGGTGAGTTGAGTGGCAAAGAGCATGCAAACATCCTTCCATCGCAGCAGACGGACGCCAGTGTGCCCCTCCGATGTTTCCTGAGAGTTTCTGAAGTTTTCAGCCATGTTGATGGGTGTAGCAACAATCCTATCAGTGTGCTGCCCCGTGATCCTTGATCTTAAAGCGTGATCCAAAAGTATTCCACTCGCATACAACTTACAAGTACCCCAGCAGGTTCCAGCAGATCAGAAACTGAGAAGCCCGCAGCTCTGTCAGGTGCTGGGCAAGTTTTCGGCGGGCCTTCCTGTTCGCCGGCACGAGCAAGTCTGGTCCCAGCGACTGTGCTCACCAGGCTCCCTCCTGGTAAGTTTTAGAGGTTGATGTGGGTGGACCGGAGGGAGTTTTGAAGCCGTGGCTATGCGGCTTTAGCGCACTGAGCCGTGGGATATATCGCTTGCCCGGAACATCCGGTGAGGCCTTGCTGGAGCAGTGCGACGTGAACTTGATGATGGGCGGCGAAGGAGTGGAGGACTGCCGGACAGCCCCGAGAAAGAGAGAGCCTCTGTTCCGGAAATGCTCAATGTGCAGGACTGCTCACGCTGCGTCTATGCTTCTCTTGGCTCGGGGCGAAGGCGAGAAGCACACCCTGCTCACAGGGCAAGGCTTCAAATCGAAAGGCCTCTGAAATTCACGAGTATCTTTGATGTTGAAGAGTACAAAGAGCTGCATCCAACTGATCAGCGTTAGCATGAAGACCTTTCGCTGCACTCACCGGGTCTGCTACAGCACGACATTTGAAGCTTGAGCTTCTTTTGAGAACCGGTCCGTTTCTGATCAGGCGACGGTGGCAGCAGAAGCGTCAGCTCTCGGGCAACTTCGCCTCTGGGCCACTCTGCGTGCAGCCTGAGGGTCGCGCAAGCAAGGCTTGAGAGCGTTGACATGACCTCTCGGCGCAGGTCAATGGTGAAAGGTTTCTCCACCTTCTTGAGCTTTCAGGTGCGCGCTTCTGGTGTTGTCAGATCAGGTCCCAGCTGGAAATCTCTTGCTGGTCGGAGCGCTACGCTGCGGTGACCCCTTGGAAGGCTGGTACCCAGAGCAAGAGCCCCTTGAGCCGCGAAGGAGCTGGGGTAACTTGAGGCTAAAGGTCGCTAAAGCCTTTGAAAGTTCCGCTAAAGCCGAGTCGCGGATGGTCTCGGCCGTCCTTTCCCTCGCTGTTCCGAGGCTACCGGCTGAGCTGCTCCGGTGGGAAGTGGTGGGGTCCAAATGGCGAGCCCGGCTTCTCCGGCTTTGCATGCGCGCCCTGTGTGCAGGCAGACAGCGGAGGGGAAGGGGGAGGGTTCAAGATTCAAAATCTGCGGGATTCGAGGCGTGGCTTGGCGGGAGTTGTCACCGAGTGTGTGCAGTCGAATTTGGATGGCTCCCGGACAAGGTCCTCGCACGATGTTACGCGAGAATCCACCATTTTGAATGGTTTCCTTTCCTGGCGGGATGGTGGACCTGGGGGTTCTAGGGCGCTTCAGCTTTTGCAGCAAGTGCACATGTCTGTTTCCCAACGCTCTGTAGATAATTTTGCGGGCCACCCTGAACCGAAGCAGACAGCCAAGCCTTGTGGCCGAAGTCGCGGCACTTAAAGAGTCCGGTGGTTGAACGAGGTAAACGCCCCGCAGTGTTTCGCACATCGTGATCTTCCGATTCTTTGCTCGTTGACACCAAGCTTCCAAGACTTTCTTCCGCTGTCCTTGGTGTTTGTGGTGGCTGGAGGTGGTGCAGCCGGACTATGTCGGCTACCAGGAGTCCGTCAGAGCTTTCGGGAATTCCGGGCGATTGTGCCGCAGCGGCTGCGCAGGACAAGGGCGAGCAAGAGCTGTTCTTCCTGCCCAACCTGAGCCTAAGAAGCAAAGAGTGCCGGCTATTGTGGGAAGGTTTAGGCCGAGCTTCTCGTGCACCCCAAAAGCGAGCTACTGTAGACAGGATCCAAGTATCCTGAAGCTCACACCGCTGCGTGCCGCCTTTAGACTCCAGGGACCTCAACATCGGCTTCGATGCCTTGATACCGATGGTCATTTCCTCCAAAGGCGACCTCGTCACTCGGCAAGGGTGGACGCGAGGGCTGGGGAAGACGTCAGGCCGAGTCTAGTCACGTTACGGACGTAGTAAGTACGCAGCAGCTGACGAAGCAGTTTGCAAAGAGAGGTGCGGAGGCACACAGACACACGCACTACAATCTGCGCTTTTTGCATCGCGGGACGGTTCATCCCTCAAGTTTTCCCGAGCAACCTTGTGCCCGCCGTACCTGGTGTCTTCGAGGTCGAGGGCTCGCTGAAGGAAGGGCCTCGAAATGAGAGCGCAGCCGGGGCCGAGGAGGACCGGACCGGGACCAGTTCGAGGGGTTTAGGGATCGCTGGGACTCTAGGATACTCGAGGCATTCGTGGTTTCTCTTTGCAGGACAGCTCACTGCTGCAGTGGAGGGCCCTGCCCGAAAGCCGTGGAGCGAGCCCGCAAGGGGCTACCGGGGTTTGGAGACTCGGAGAAGCATGAGAGGTCGGAGTCTTCTGGGTTACCACCTCGGGAGTTGGCTGGTGCGCTGCGCGACTAAGGAGAGTGCGCCACAGCCTTTTCAGTGATCGCACCTTTCAGCTGAGCACGGGTCTGGGCAACAGCAAGTGCCTGGGTCTCAAGTGAGTTCTCTGTCATTACGTGCGAAACGGGTGCCCTCAAGAGAACTCTCTGCGAGACTTTAAAAAGAGACACGATGAGACACGCAAGGTGCTTGGAAGGTTCGGCGCTGGAGTTTGACACCTCGGTCTGTCAGGACTCCCGCCTCTCGGTGGTTTCGGACGTCGGACGCAGAGTTAGCAGTTGCTTTGTACAACATTGTACTGCGCTATGTACATGGCGTTCCTGTACATGTAAGCAGACTAGAGTCGCCAGACTTGGGCGGCCGTGGATGCTACGACATAGATTGCTGAGAGATTCCTAACGCTGGGCCGATCTTCCTCCCAGACCTTAGCTGACTCTCCTCAGATGCGTCTTCACGTCCCCAAGCCCGCACGCTCCACAGCTCCCTGCCGGCACAGACGAGCTTTGTGGCCAAGCAGCAGTTCCAGCATCCATCAGTGGCCGGGCTGCATCGTGGCCATGATCGTGTGCATCCTGTTCTCGTGGGCTTGCGAGCACTGCCGGGGCTTTGGGCACAGGTCGTCTGATTCCCTGGAGCTTTGCTGATGCACAAAGTTCAATACATGCCTCGAAGGTCTCATTTCTTGTCTCGGTTTGTTCTGTAGGTGCAACAGCACTGTCAACCATGAATGCCTTGTAAACTAAACACATGATTCCGTTTCTGTGTTCGCACAAGACTATTGTCACGATGTTGCCGACAAAACCGTTACTAGTGATGTCAGAAAGGAAGAAGTCGATTTTGATCAAGTACGAACTACGTGACTTCGAAGTTCATGTTGATACCAAACGCCTTTTTCTGGACCCCGACCTCCCAAAAGCAGTTGGCCCTCGGGTTTTAGTTCAGCCTGCCCGGGGATCCCTTGTCTGTCAGGAGCGGGCTTTTGTGCCCCGCTCTCTGTCTCCCGCCATCCGTTCTCAGCTCTTCATAATATCATGCATACTTACATGTCATGTATCCTGTATCAATGTACGCAGGCATACCATATGCACTTAGATGTGTGCGCTTTTGTGTACTGCATGTATGCGTGTTTGTATGCATGGAAGGATGGATGGACGTTGTATGTTCATGTGTGCGTGTGTAGAGTCATGCTTCGCGCGCACGCCTTAAACCCCTGAACGCTGAACCCAAACATGCATGGGTCGAGGTTCTGTCTACGCTGGAGCAGGCAGTCCAGACCAAGTTCCTGCGAAAGAGCCAGGCCTCGCCCCCTCGGCACTCTTCCAAAGGGTTTGGGACTACTTTGAGGCCAAAGTATATACTTTCTAGGTACATTGACCCTTCGGGTCCTGTTATGGACCAGTGGTCAATGGGAAATCGAGTGCTGTCTGATAGGTGCCGCCCAAGCAAGACGGGTCGGACACATTGCTGAGATCCAGCTTCACTCGCGACGCTGGCCTGCTTAGCCACTATCACTATTATCCCTTGTCCAAACTCTGAACAAATCATAGTTGTAGTGCTCAAGTCTTTCGAGCCCTGGCTGAGTTGCAGAAAGCTTTTGGCTTTTCCCTCGCGCCTCAGGACTGTGGGAGCTTTGCGCTGACCAACCTGTCCTTCCACGAGGCCCCAGAGTTCACGGGCTGCGGCCTCGCTTCTGCTGCGGTACCCAACGCTGCAAGAGCCAGGGCTGAGTGAATTTTGTAATACTCCATGCGGTTTGCTCCGGGCCTTGAGCTTTGACAGCAAAGACACTCCTTTTGGGACAGATGCCTCGTACAGATGTCATGATGTAGGAGCCTTGTGAGTATTCGCAGCCCCGAATTGTTGAAGGCTGGTGTTCAGACGACTGTGTTTCTTCACTTCCCGGAGCCTCGCAGGAGAGCAAGGAAAGTCCTGTGAAACCTCAGCAACCTGAACTGAGTGTTGCTAGCATTTGCCTCAGTTTGGTCGAGATGCCTACTGGATCCTCAGCGTAGTGCAGAAACCAAGGCGATGCCTACTGCCAGCCGGCTTTTCCACGTTGTGCCTTCAGTCAGGTTCCTGCAGCCAAACACGGGCCGATGCTTCAACGTCGAAGATCTGTCTCTATTGAATCGGCCGTACAACTTCGCCTTTGCACCGTGTGTGGATGGTTACAGTGACTTTTTCTGGAACGGATCGCAGCTGGTTCTCCTTGCAGATCCCACGCTATGCTTTGGCATGGGGCGTGGTACGCCTGCTGTTCCGGTGTCTTGTCGTTTAGGACTGAACATAGGTGCTTACCCTGTGCAAGCCTGAAAGCCCCGACTTCGTTGTGCACGGCCGGCTAAGATAGCCGGATAAGTGTGCTTGCCGAAGCTCTTGAGCTCAGCCGTGAAAAGCACGTGCCCAGTTCGTCTTCCCGGGCACCCTCGACCACTGCTCTCGTCAAGCAACGACTCAATGGTCCGTGGCCAACGCGACCTTCCAGGGTGTTGGTGGGACTTCTGAAAAGGGGTGTGGTCTTATGTCCGCAAAGGTTGGGCTGGATCTTTGGCGGTTGGTTAAGACTGGATACAACATGGGCTAGCTCAAACTGAAGGGAATGCTTGCCACCATCCCACAGGCATGTGGAATTTTGGTTGCTTCGACGTCGACGACCCCTCCTGGTTTCAGTGGACCTTTTGCATCTTAGCTGTCACGTAACATCTTGTCTTCTGAGCCTCAACGAAGTTATGTTATTATGAAGCCAGGCAGAATGGTACGTTCAGGTCCTGAACCATGGACCCTAAGTGTAGATGTTCCAGAAAGGCGGTCTAAGCATTTCCGACTTGGAGAGTCGCCGTAGGTAGCAACATCCGCCACAAGCAGATGAACATGGTGGATGTGGTCAACGAAATCAAGTGTCCACCAGACTCCCTCGTGAGCTACTTACACAAGGACCGGAACATCCTGTGCAAATCGCGAGTGAAGCTTCGGGATTGGAGTTGTGGCTGCGGGAGTTGTGGCTGCGGGATTTCGAGGTGGAAGGAACATGGCTGGCCTTCTTCAAGATAGTCTTCAGGGCTCGCATGAATAGATTCATGTTGTGTTGCAGGCATCACGAGGTCGGCGATGGTTGCTCAGTCATATATGCGAAGGATGCATACCGGCGGAACGGCAACGCAGATGACATAAGGCAGAGAGGAGTGTAGAAACAAAGCCCGGCCACTGCTAAAGACACCGTCAAGGGCCTCCAGCCTTGATGGTGCATCCGCCAAACTGCATCTGGGATCAAACAAGGGCACGCCTTCGATGCTCCAGTGTCGTGGTGCCTTAGTCGAAGTGTCACTGCCGCAAGCTCCAACATGCAGCGGTCTTCAGGAGCCCAACAGCCTGTCCATCAAGTATCGATGCTGGGCTGCTCTTTGAACTCGTCTTGAGATTCTTGGTGTAGCCACCCTACAATTACACCACAGCTAAGTCCATGCCCGACTACTCGTGTCTGCTACAGGATGCAACCGGATGGTCTCCATGGGCTCCTGTTTCCCTTACCAGACCCCACCCTTCGAGAACTCCGGTGAGGCCCGCAAAGGATTTGCGTCCAAGTGGGGTTGCTCAGAGAGCCTTCGGAGGCGGGTCAAGGTCAGGAGCCGTCTGCTGTGCCTCGCCGGGAATTGCAGGCTCTCACTCTGGAGCTACTCTTCAGCTTGAAATGCCACTTCTGAGCATTCAGCAAATCCTTCCCTCAGCAAGCATATTTCAACAAGCCGCAGCCTTCCTTCCGCACCTCCGGCCCAACTGGAAGTCCTTCTACTGCCGGTGAAGACCCCTAGTTGATGAAAGCAGCACCCAGCATGTCACCATTGCAGATCTCCGACACTGCCGTGTCGGGCGGCTTCGCGGGAATGGGCTGTGTGAAAGAATACCTAGCAGCATGAGCCACAAGATGTCATGAGCAACATCTCCAGAGAAGGCAGAAGGCATGCACCATAAGATGCCCTAAGCTCCTCCGAGACTCTGCGCAGCCAGGCCTTCCTGCAGGCGCATGCAAGCTGTCCCCGGGGGTCTGGCATGCAGGAGACGAGGGCGAGAAAGTTGCACAAAAAAGAGGATTTAGGGTTCAGGGTTTAGGGTTTAGGGTGGAATCCTGTTCCTGGGGGTTTTACAGAGAGGATCAGGATCCCACTTGTGAAACGAGCAAGGGGACAACTGACTTTCACCTCAGAAGATCCTCCTGGGGTCTGCAAGCAGGCCTGATCCCACAGATTTCCCTAAAGCCTAGCATCGCATACAACCGCTTAGCTGATCAACCCGTCAAGCTTCAGGTCGGGACTGAATGTGAGTGTAAAAAACATGTGGGCGTGCGCGTGTGTGCATGGCAGGAGTTGCAGGTCGTCGAGTCAGCAGTTTCCGTGTCCTTTCGGATTTTGTGCCTTGGAAAGTTTCTTGTGGGGAGCATCATGCACAGCACCTTACGCAGATGTCTCAACAGATTCGGTAAGTTGCGAGGTGTTGCTACATGAGCCCGCTCGCCATGGGCGCGATCGTGACAGGCCCGGTCGTTCTTCGGGCATCCATGATACCTCTCGAACCTGCAGACGATTCTAATTCTGATGCACTCATCCGTTTCTGTTCGGGCCAAGTCCCCAGAACCTGCACGCAAGTTCTGCTGAGGCGGAACGCCTCGCCTTCACAATTGGGAGGGCGCCTACTGCCCCTACGAACGCGATGAAAGTGGCCGTTTCTTTGCTCAGTCTGCTACGTCTCATCCTAAGCAACACAGGGCATCACAGCCTTGGAAGACTGCAGCTCCTGGAACCCCCAAAGAACCCTGCATCCCAAGTGGGGCTTGGAGATGCGAAGTTTCAAGCAGTACTTGCTGTTGAGCCTCGCTTGCTTGGTCCGTTGACCCAGGCTTGAAATACTCGCAGCAGTCCAGCTTCGGTCTGAGCCAAAGCGGCGAGCTGGCCTTCAACTGGTCCACAGGTTCCGTGGGAGTGTTCTCCAGTCAAGTTGTCGATTGCGGAAAGGTTCTCGTGCGCAGCACGAGATGCGGTGCTTGTGATGGGCGTTGGGGTGTTGGGATGGCACAAGACAAGTGCATGAGGCCTGCGGGTGCGGATCTTTCCGACCCCAAAATCACTTTGCGTTTTGTTCCTGGTGCTCGCAGGCCAGTGGTGTTTGACAGCCAAGATTTGGTTCAAGGAATGGGTGACCTGCGTGGACAGCACGGTGGCAGAAGTCTTGGACGATGCTGGGCAGCCAGATCTGTCCATTGGGAATCCCATGCACTCAATTCCAGGGTTCAGGGCTGGGGGCCCATACAAAATCTGCTACCTTCTTGTCAGGTTTGGGTTTAGGGTTTTCCGCCCAACAGCTTCCACCCAATATCTGTTTTCTGGGGTTTAGGGTTTCCCACCACACAACGTCACTGGTGCGGTTCGCGGTTCTTCCCAGCCAACTTCTTTCCACCCACTATCTTCGTGCAGTGTTCAGAATTCCTACACTACACGATGTGTTGTAGGCTCCAGTATTCCTAAAATCCAATGATCGTTTAGGACTTCCACTACCCACTAAATTTCTTGTAGGGCGAGCGGCTTTCCGTCCGCTATCTGCTTCTAGGGTTTCAGTTGTTTTTTACATCTGGTTTTGGGGTTTGGAGCTCCCCAAGTGGGTTTGCCACTCGACGGGAGAAACTGGGTTTAGGGTGGGCAACAGCCAGGCTCTCCGTGAAGGGAATGACTGGTTGCCCAAAACCCGCCACCCTGGCAGGATATGATGCAGGTCAGATGGTCTTAAATTTGTTTGTCCTGACTCGAAACGGTCAAGACCTGCGCCGACATGCCCGACCTGAAACCACGTCCCAATCGCGCTCTTGAAACTGAGCCTGCAATGCACTGTGCAACACTGCCCTCGATTGGGGTAATTCGCACCCGCACCAACTCTGACATCTGCGCCTAGGATGGGGTGCTGCATGGCCCAAGCTGGTCAGCGGTGCCGGTCACGGACTTCGATGGAGAATACCTCCCGCAGGGTCCAATCGAAGCTGTGATGCACAGGGGCCAAGGACCCTAGGAGGCGTGAAAGCAATGCCTGCCGAATGATTTTCTCCTTTTTTGATCCTGACTGTAGCTAGCCTTGCGATCATCTTTTGGCAGGGATGCAAGTGAAGGCGGGCAGCCTGTCGGACTTTGGCGTCAGATACACAACTCACAGCCCTAGGCATTAGATCCTGCATTCTGAAGACCATGCTTTGCTTTGGGTGGTGGTTCCTTTGGGGTTTGTGCTGTATTGATTTGTTTTCCTGTGAGCCTCGAACCGTCCGTGGCTGAGTCAGTCAGTCAGTCAGTCAGTCGGTCAGCCAGTCATCAACCACCATCTTCTCATGAGGGCCCTGGTTAGATCAACGGTCAGTGCCTAATGAGGGGGCGGGCTTGAAGCATCTTTCAACGAACACCTGCGATTCTCTCATTAGCTTGCAGCGACATCGGCATTGTCGAAGCAGGACTGCAACTAGTAGGGTACAGCTAAAGGTCAGAGGTGACAGCAGAAGCCTGCGCGACATTGCTCGTGCGTAGACGAGACAAGTTCGATCTCTCCCATAGTTTGCCGCAGCACAGGACCGCAAACCCAGCAAGAATCGCCTCACCTCCGGAAACACAAGCACATCAAATTTGACGTTCTGTTTTACTGCTCTGATTGTTTTTCCGATGATGCTCCTCCTAGTCCTTGCCCTGTTGTCTGAATCAACCCACTGCACGAGCTTGGAAGCCCAGCACCAATACACGTAAAGGTTCTTATTCGCTATGTCGGTCTGCCTGTCATCGAGGAAAAAGTCTGCCACAGCCAAATGATCCCTCATCCCTGTCACTGTTGTGCGAAAAGTGTCCCCCCTGTTTTGACTGTCGCCATGTGAATGCCCGTGTCATGGGCCATTTCCAAACCCGAAAACACGTTTCGGAAACAGCTTCGTCCCTGTAACCGTTGTTTCTTCTCCGATGTTTGGACATAGATGTAGCCCGTAGCCCGCACCACAGTTTCAGCTCGGTAAAGGCTTCATCCTGTTGACTGGTATTGAATGTGGCAAGATTTGTATGATCAAGCCAACACCAAAATAAAGCCAAAAACAGAAAAGGGCCAGACCGGACCAGGAAGCCCCATGCCTATGGCTTCTGTTGTTTCTGCATGATCAAGTCACCCAAAACCGAAACCACCAACAGAAAGAAATTCAAACAAACACCTGGTCCCGTTTTTCGCTCTAGAAAGACAGTTTGTTTTAGGCGCTCTGCCCGACACCGAGCCTGCTGAGGAGCGGGACTTCTCGCCACCACGGCAGCCACCGAGGCCCGAACGAAGCCAAAGCCGTCTCTTCGTAATGGTTTTAAAGCTGGAAGCTTCCTGGTCGATTTTTCTGCACTTGTTGCAGTGGTTTTTGTTACGCGATTGCGCGCCTTTCGGGGCACGGCAGGCACATGTCCGGACTGTCAAAGGAATCTGGGATGATCGCCTTCAGCTACAGTTTGCAGGATTCATCTTTCCAATTGGCAACCTTTGAAGGTTTAGGCTTGCAGCGGCCAGTGGCAGATCCTGAGCCTCACGGCATAGCGTGGAGGCCCAAGCCGAAGTTGCTCACCTTCGCCTCCAGCGAAGCCCAAGTCGCGGAAGAGTGCAAGGAGCTGGTCCCCGACTGGGAGAATGTGCCTTGGCGAACAAACGGGTTCTTGCCAGCTTAATGGAATCAACGGCCCATATTTTCTTCGAGGCAAGCCTAAGAGCGAAGAACCCTTCGGCGCATCTTTCAATGTGCCGTCACTTCACTTCTGCTGTTTTGTTTACCGATTTTGCTTTCCTTGCCGCCCTTGCTTGGGGGGTCTGCTGCTGCGCCTTCGCATGCAATCCGCATGCAAGGAATTTCTTGCCTGTATTTCGGTCGTCCTTGCCTTGTCTAGCGATTGTATTCACGCAGTGTTTTCAACCAAGAGGATCGTGGAGATTCGACGAAATCCATGCACTCAACAAACCTCCGAAACCCGACAAAGGGTTCTGTCGTAGTCGAAGTGCCGGCATGGCCAAGCACTCGAAACCAAGGTCAGCAAAGAGTTGCCAGCGAGCAATCCATGCCAATTTGTGCCGCCGCCTTGGCGTCAGGGTCGCCACTGCAGGGCAGCTTTGGGCTCAGAGTTTTGCCACAGGGATGCGCAGGTGAAGCTACGTAGGACAATCCAGAAGATCTTCCCCGACATCTTCACAGCGCAGCCAGCTGCTGATCCTGCCAGTAGACAATCCCTCACATCCCGGAAACATCAATGTGAAAAGCCCTGCTGCCACGAAACCCATTCGAAAGCTTCAAGGGCTGCCACAGCCTCACATCCCCTTAGTAGTCCCCGCCTCGGCTCACTTTGCCACGGCCCTCCCCGAGGTCGGGAAAGCCCTGGGCCAAGAACCCGCAAAAAGCGGCTTTGGAAGATGAAGGCAGCTTGGCCTCAGCTTGGTGTTTCCTTGAGCTCGGGTCCCGCGCACACACCGTGACAGAGACAGACACAGACGGTCGGCGAACATGACATCTCTTCACCCTACACTTGGAGGGATGAAGCCGAGCGCCCGAAGCCTCAGGCGAGGGCTATGCCAGCTACTGGGACACGGTGACGCTCGGCTGAGTGCGGGTAAACGTCGAACACTCGAGACGTGGCTTTGTCGGCGGAGGACCGCTCAAAAACCCACGTCGACGATGGCTTGCATTGGCACTGTGGGGGGTGCAAGGGTATGTCTGCAGCCCTGAGTCCTCCAAGAGCTCAAGCTCTCAAAAGCAACGGGCTTTTGCCTACTCGCGCTGCAGAGGAACCATGTTGGAGACTCCGGCTTCAGCTACGAGCAGGTCTTGGATTGCTTCGCTCGAGAGGATGCACGGAACCGAATGGATTTAGAGGACGAGTACGACGCTGAGCTGCATCTGCTGTCGTTCGCCCTGGAACTGTGCCCCAACTTTCGAACCCTTCCAACTGGCAAAACCTCTTTAGGTTAAGGGCTTCGGGACTCCGGGCCCAACCATGGCCTTTCCGTGTTTGGTTATGGGTGTCCTGTCCTTCGTTTTCTTTGCGGACCTTGGGTTTCACCCCAACACTGTATTTAAGGTTCTGTGACACCATTCGCATCTCCCTGCAGGGCTTTAGGGCTTCCCAGCCACGATTTCCTTCTAGCTGGGCTTTCCACTCCGCACTCCTGGGATTCGCACTCATCCTTCCCGTCTGGGAGTTTGGGTTTCTCCGATATCCCACCAATACTTAGAGCTCCACCTGCTAGGGTTTCGAGCCCATTGCGAATCTCTTGAGCATGCAGCTTTGGACTCGAACAGCTCGAAGCTTCAAGCCTGATTTTAGGGCTTGCTCGACTTTCAGGTTTTGCCCAATCCATTTGGGCACAGTGCCCATGTTCTGAGGAATTTCGCTTCTGAGATCCTTCCAACTCCCGGAACCGAAAATCGGACACGGTGCCCCGCAGCCAAATCAGACCAGGATGCCGCCAAAGTCATCAAAAGCATGAACGAGGCGCCAGTTGATCAAACCCTTGCGACGTGCATCACTTGAGCCCAGCCGAAGCGCTCACATCCGACCGCAAAACCTGCCGAAACATGGTGGATTTTTTCTGCACATTGGCTTTGGAATCCTTGAAATCAGATCAACGTCTTTCTCCACGCCACCTGCTCTGCGGTGCCATCTTCGGTCCTCTCCCCCTTCGGCCTGGGAATCATGGAGCACTGGGGCGACATTTGCAGCTCTGCACCCCGAATTTTCAACCGAGCAGGCTTTGCTTGAGCTTGTTGCCAGCCCAGTCTTTGTGGTGAAGTCAACTTTACGATTGGCGCTGTATTCCACAGTTTGTTGCGGTTCGGTGCAACCGAGGTGATCTCAGAGGGACTTGTCGAGAGCAACAACTGGTACCATGAAACACGGACTGCGAGGCATCCGGAGCAGTCAAAACTCTGTGTTTATATCGTCATTTTGTCTTGGCGCTTGGGGCGTAGGGTTCTGCGTGACGATAGAACTACAGGCATGAAATCCGATGCTGCAGGAAGATCTTTGAGCGCGCAGATGCCGCTCAGAATGACTGCATCGGTGCGGCTGCTGCATTCGCCCGGGTGGTCTGCGACCTTCACTGCGTGAAGGCGGTGAGCTGCATGCTGGCTTTGCCATGGAAGACCGAAGCCTTGAACGAAGACTCTGTACAGCCCACCCCCAGACCCTAAGGCCCTCAAGCTTGGAGCCGGGAGTTATGAGCCCTAAACCCTGGACGCCGTAAACACCCAAAGCGTAAACTCAAGCCCATGCCCCATCTCAGAGGATGCCATCCAAAGTGGCAATCTGGCGGTGCGCCAGTCCTTAGAGCAGGCCGTTGCGGTGCTCAACAGGAGCCTCGGAGGTGTTTGGAGCTACTCGGGATCCACGGCGCTCCGACGTCTATGTCTAGATTGCGTCTATATCTTGTATGTACAGGCAGACAGACGTACAGTGACATACATGTACACATGAGTAATCTTCGCCGACATGTGTCAACACGCTCAAGCAACCCCACTGGTACCGTTCCAAGCAACTTCCCAGCGGTAGAAGGGTGATGCCTGGGGTCGCGTAAGCTTTTCGGACTCTGGAGCAGAGCTCTTTCCACTGATCTTCGCACTTCATGATTCATGAGGCTGCCTCAGGCGTCATTCTCCATGCCACATCACGGAAAGACTGGATAGATTGGAGTCGCCAGCTTCGGGGACGACTGTGTGGGCTTATGAAGCTGCGAAATACCTCTAGCAGTCCGCCAAGCCGCTGATACATCTGTACGTGTATGTGTGGTTGTATGTATGTATGTATGTATGCATGTATGTATATATGTATGTGTGTGTATGTATGTATGTCTGTGTGTATGTATGTATGTATGCATGCATGTATCGAGTGCCTGCGCAAACACACACGAACATAGCTCTTGGCATATTTGGGCAACCCTGAGACTTCATGGGCCACTGTGGTTTGGAGTCTACGCTTGCTGAATAGAGGGTTGAGTAGCCCATGTAAGGGATGGATTGATGGTTAAGTCTGTCCCGGTCACCTTGTAAAGCCAGTGCAACTAGACTATCAAGTTGTCTCCGGGGTCCTCGTTGCGCTGGAGCCGAAAGCTCATGTGAACGGACGGGTAAAATGCAGTAAGTCAGGAACTTCGACCTCCTGACCGAGTACTCGACCGAGAAGTTGACTTCCAAGTTGGATGCCTTGAAGGAGGGACTTGGGTCCGCCCACGAGAGTCTTGCAGAAGCCATGAGATGCCCCGTGCCACCGAAAGGACGAGATCAGCGACCTGAGCCCAGACGCAGCAGGGGACGGCTTGGACTTGCAGGGCATCCGACGGCTCTTTGCAAGCAACGGCTCTTGGGCTCCAGCTTTCAGGGCTTCTTTTGGATGCAGAGATGACAGCGTTGGCTTCTTGGGCCAAAACACCCCGAACCGGCCCAGAATCAGAAGAGGGGATCTCCAAGAGACCTGTCCGGGCCACGCTGAGGTCGCTGAATTCGAGGCTGGCGCGGCTGCGCCTTGGCAAAGCACTTGCGAACCTGTGCAAAAACAGAGAGGAGAAGCGCACTGTCGTTAAACTCCTTCCTTAAAATCTTTTGACTCAGCGCCACAAAGTGAGGTCTTGAAGGTCTACCTGCAAAGCCAAGTGAAGTTTGACTAGTTACTGGTTGGTGTCTTGGAGTTTTGAACGGTACGAAGCAGACCAAACGACTCCCGCACAAGTCATCACACTGTCCTTTCCGAAAGCAGGGCTGCGAAGCCCGAAACGCCCAACTCCAGAAGCTTGATTACTGCGAGTGTCCTTTCCCTGACCCTTGGTTCGCAGGGAATGGAGGAATGGGGTACGATTACAACTGCTATTACTACCATTCTTCCATTCCCTACTAGCCAAAGGTAAGTTCCCCTGCGCAGGCACAAGCTCCTGTCCTTTGGTCGGCTCAGTGCTGCGGGGCGCTCCTCCTCAGAGCGAGCCCTGCGGAGCCACCCGATGTCAGTTGTTTCTTTTGTCGAGATTGCAGGGATTCGGGGGGGTTTTCGGTCTTCATATTATAGGGATGTTCTGTTCAGGGTTGAGGGTTTTTTGGGGGGTTTATGCAGACTCAGAGTTTAGGGACTTTGGGGTTCAATGATTTTCCAGATTCAGGGATTCAGGATTCTAGTAGTTCTAGGGTTGAAGGATTTTCGGGGTTAACGGGATTTTTAGGTTTTCGGGATGTTCAGAGTCTAGAGCGGGTTGCTCGATGATCGTTGGATAGCTCGGACCTGTGCGCATTGCAGCATATCTCAGAGCCTCCCCTGCACTTTCACGATGCTGCCCACCTCCACCTTTCCGGACTCCCGGATTTTGATGTCTAGAGTTATGGAGACCCATTTGCAAGTTGGCGCTTGTTGGGCTCCTGTCGGTGCCTGCGCTCTGACTTGTCTCAATCGGTGCCCCAGATCGCCTCATTGCAGTTTCGCAGGGTCGAGCGCAGTGGCTAACTTCAACTCTCTTTCCGGACTGACTCGGCTTGTTCTTGGGAGGTTCTAACTGTGGGCTATTCAACTCCTGCGGAAGTTGTCCATGCTTGTGGAGACATGCCCTACAGTGGTAGTGGTGAGCCTTCCAAGCGCAGAAAGCACGCTGCCTCCTCAAAATAGCAGGCTTTATGGTCGGCCTGGATCCCTCTCGGCAGTCCAATGCCAGCCGAAATCTGCAGCACCTGCTCCTGGGCGGCAGAGGAGGCGCCTTTGGCTTTGCGCCTAAGTTGCAAAACCAACCACCCGCACTCAGGATCGACAAAGAAGAAATGCTGCACGGCCGCTCGCTAGCAAGCATGTCACTTCTCTTCTCTTCGGCCCCCAAACTTGAGCCGAAGTGGAACTACTGTCGCACCTCTTCAGGCCTGAAGCCGCAACCAAAGCCTCGAAGCAAGCCGAAGCGAAGAAGCGAAATTGTCTCTGATACACAAGCAATGCAGCAAACGTACGCCCGGCCTGAGGCGCCCTGCTCTCCGCCAGTGGGCAGGGCTTGGAGCGAGGCGGGGTGGCAGCTTTGCGTGACGAAGCAGAACCTCGGAGATTCCGTGAAGGCAGCCATGCGGTGGCGGAAGAGGTGACGACGGCTGCCAAGGCCATGGAGACCCTGTCGCGCTCCCGGAGCCATGGGCAGTGATGGAATTTGATTTTGGACCCTTTGGGCTCTCGGATCCGATGATCCGAGCGAGAGTTTCACCTCCCCAGGAATCATCTGCTTGGCGTCTACCACCACCGTTCGGAAGAGTGGAAGCAGCGGCAAAGAAAGCAGCGCGCGGCAATCCGACTGAGCCTTTCCGGAGGTTAGAGCTCTTAGGCCCTCCGCTTCCGCTGGGCTTCAGAGCTTGGCATGAACCACGCACCCTGTTTAAACACAGCCCACTCTCACAGCTTCACCGAGGAGGGATGACAGCACCGCTTGGCTGCTTGTGGAGCTCGACAGCACATGGTGGCAGCTGAGAGCGGCTTTCGATAAGTACCTGACGCAAGCCAAGAGCTATTCACTGGCCTTTTCCGATGCAGCCGCTGGCCATGATTACTGGGTGCGATCGCCATGCCCATTACGTTGAGTTGTTGTTGCTGCCATTCGCTGCTCTCCTTTTTTGCTATTTCTTGTCGCGCTTGGTCAGGGATGTCGTTTGAGCCCCTTGAAGAAACCCCAAAGTCAGAACAAGCCAGGTGAGACTCCTCCAGTCGTACATCTCTTGCTCAATCCAGTTTGTGGATCTACGTGCAGGCTGGGGGAAAACAGGTAGTGGAGGATCTGAAGCCAGCGGGCCTGCATTCCTACATGCATCTACTGCGGCCAAGCCTTTGTTGTTGCTACTGCTGCTGCCGCTCTCCAGCTGCATACCGGAAAGTCATCATTTTTGACACAGCCTGCTTCCACCCTCAAAACTGATGAGAGATGCTAGCTGTTAGTTTCTTCCCGTTCGAAGTCAAACGCACTCTTAGAATCTCTTAGAGGGGCAACGATGCCAAACCTGAAGCTCCCGCCAGCGATGACTTCACATCTCCCAAAGCAGGCTTCGGGGCCTTTCAGAAGGTGGAGGCTCTCCACGAGGAGGCGCTGCAAGAAGCTCGGCGTATTTGCATCCTTACCTTGAGAGTGGGTTGTCTGTGTGACCATCTTGGCAAGTGAAGTTGCTTCGAGTAGCGCAGAGTCTCGGCATGGGGGCACAAGGGTGCCGGGAGAGTTTGTCGGCAGTTTCAATACATCTGGACCCGAATGCAGACGCTGACAGCACAGTAAGATCCCTCAGATAAAGCATCGCAGCCCAGGAGGCTTGGTCAGCTATGATACCTCTGGCAGGCCCGATGAGCACATATGTGGGTTTGGAATCTTGGAGGCTTTTGCGGAGTTTCGCCTTCCTTCGTCTTGAAGCTTTCATTGTATCATCTTGAATCTGTGTGCTCCAGCCGTCCCGGCGAGCAAGAGGCCATCGATGTCTGCTAGCCCTACTTCTCGAAGTCAAATCCGATCTGAGCCCTGGAAGCCAGATGTCCTTCACAACTTGTAGTGCCAAGACTTACAGGCATCCCACAACCTGTTCGCATTTTTTTTGGGCCTCGACCAGGGTAAGTACAACCGCAGGTAGAACCGACCTGTCCACCCTTCCTGGCAGCTTGGAGGTTTACTGGTCTCCAAGGTTCTGGACAGCCGTGCCATGACCAAGCTGAGCAAGGTACTCGAGCCACACAGTTTAGTTGGTTTGTTACCTCTTTGCCAAGACTTGGGCCTCCAGAAATGCTAGGAGGATTCGGAGACGCTGGCCTTGGGCATGAGCTCCGAGAGCTGCGGAAGCTTCGACGCCGTTGTCAACCGGAGCTTCGACGAGGGCCTGTCCGGGCAGACGGCCCGGCAAATGAGCATCCTCTTTAAGGAGCTGCGAGCTCCCACATGAAGATGTTTTTTGATGTTGCGCTTAGCAAGGAGCTCGGGCTGCTGCGGAGAGCCTTCGAAACCAAGGGTGCTGCTCCGCAGGATCCAGAGGTCTTGGAGCAGCGGCTCTGCCGGACTGTCAGTGTTTAGCCGTCTGTGTTTCGATTGATAGATTGCCATGTGGCTGTCAGCAATTGATGGGACAGCTAGCAGTGCAAAGATGCCTTAGCAGCCTTAGCCTAAGGTTGCTGGACCGTGCGCGGGAAGCCTTGGAGGAGAGACTTGCGGTACGACGAGTCCTGGCTGAGCGCATGCGGCCACAGCTCTGTGGCAATCACTCTGCGTGGATCTCTGATGACGGCACGAAGTGATAGGTACATGTAGTCTGCGCGAAGAGCTGCATGAAGGAATTCACGATCTCTTGCATATTTTTTGAACCCTGAAGCGTTTGAAAGTCCTCCGACCCCAGAAGCATTGGCAAAGTCCGTGCTTGCAGAACGGAGAGCTTGCACTGGGACATCTCGTCTCGCCCGAAGGTGGCAACATGAATAGTTCCGAGCCTTCACACCCTGCACGAGTCGGGGTTGCATTGGATCTCGCTGCCAGACTGCTCCCATGCAACAAGGACACAGAAGAACTCCATTAGCCACGAGCACCCTGCGGTGCCTGCGTGCCTGCAGGGATTCGGCCCTGGCAGATCCTGGCAGAAGGTTCTGTGAAGTTCCTGACTCTGTCTGGCTAGGCGATGATGTGTCGGCTTACATGGTACATCGGGGTGGCTGCTGAGCTTGCCGTTTGGCAGCGACATCGAACCACAGGGTCTGGGACAGTGTGATCGCTGGACTTCGGAAGGGCCACACTCGAAAGCTCCGTGCCATTTGGGCTTGCGGGGCTGCGAAGGGAGTTGGGTTGGTGGACCGCGAAGCCTTGGCTCGAGCCCTACTTTTTTGGCACTTGGCTCCGAAGCTTCGTGCGCTGCAAGCGCCATGGTGAGTCACCGAGCCTTCATCGTGGCCTTCGTGCTTCGCCTTGCCAGCTGCGAGGAGAAGTGCCTTCCATCGAGTGCAGTTTCTGCCAGCTGATCAAAAGTGCTTCCACAAAAACATATATATATATATATATATATACTACACATATACACACCCACACGCATTTATATATCAGTGCCATCTGAGGCGCACGTAGTCCGCGCATCTAAGCCGTGCACGTGCTCTGGTGCATCTAAGCACATGGGATCCCTGTGGGTTTTTGGCGGGTCACCTACAGCGACAGCGCCGGTTAAGAAACAGTTAAATGTTCGTGAGGGGGGGCTCGATTTCTTGTTTTTGAGGCGCGCTTTTTTTAGGAAAAAACGTTTCGGGATTTGAGGGTATCCTGGATTTCTGAACCCAAGTTTCTTAATTTGAAACGGCAGCAAATAAACAACAAAACTGAGAAATGAAGGCGCAGCAGGATTCGAGCCCGCAGCACTTCCCATTCCAGCTCACGTGCTTATCCACTCGGGCTTGGTAGCCCAAGACTCCTGAAACGCCACTATATCCATCCCATTTTTACCCAGCTTGTAAGCAGCCATTACCAGAACCACCCAAAATATGAAATCGAGCCCCTCAATTTCTTTTCTTTACGAAATCGAGCCCCTCAATTTCTTATTTTGGTGGGCTACGTCCTGGTAGCGTTCCTAGCTTGGGCAGCCGAACGATTGCTGAGCGTGTCCTGCCGCCCTCGGGAGGCGTGTAGGAAAGTAGATGCCTTGTTTTGTCTTGTTCAGTGTTAGGGTAGTTCGTGTCACCCGTAGCCCTTTTGGCTTAGTACAAAGCAGGGCGTGCGAGCACAAAAGTTCGCTGCTGTATATGTATATGTATATGTCATATATGTATATGTATATGTATATGTATATGTATATGTATATGTATATGTATATGTATATGTGTATGTGTATGTGTATGTGTATGTGTATGTGTATGTGTATGTGTATGTATATGTGTATGTATGTGTATGTGTATGTGTATGTGTATTTGTATGTGTATGTGTACATGGTATTCATAAGCATATTCACATGTAAATGCATATTCATATGCATTTGTATACGCAAAAACGGATATATGCAAATGCATATGTATATGTATGTGTATATGTAATTGTAAATGTATATGTATACGTATACGTAGAGATGTCGGTGTCGATGCGTCTGTGTATGTGTTTGTTCTTGTATATGTTTCTGTATATGTATTACGTGTTTGCAGCGCTACATAATGTCTCATACGCGCATGTGAATATGTATACACACATCCACCCTATACCTACATCTATTTCCAAACCCATGCTTGTACCTGTCCCCGGACCCAGACGTAGAATTTAGACCTAGACCCTAAGCCTAGATAGAGAGCCTATACCTATACCGATACCTGGACCTATACCTTTGCCTACACCTGTCTTGCCTGAGACCCAATAATACTAACTAATACCTACTAAAGCCAGATATTACCTAATGTACTTCATAGTCCTTCATAGTACCTCATAGTATTTCGTAAACACCTCATACCATCTAACAATGCATCATAAGACCTCGAGCTACTTAGTACCTAGTACCGAATACATCATCCCTCATGCGTTGTACTTAATATTTATACGGATACCTATACCTATCGCTGGCTCCAGCTCTAGATCCGTCTCCAGCTGCAGCGATAGCTCCAGCCGTCTCTGTCTCGATCATCGTCTCTATGTCTACCTCTACATATCTCCATCTGTCTATATCAGCACCTGTATTTACAGCTGCATCTATTTCCGTATCTTTTTCTCCATATCACCATATCCATTTCTATATATGATCTAGCATCTACGTATACACCTGGACCACATCTACATCTGCATCCACATCGATCTTTATCTCCGTCTTTATCTTTATCCCAAAATGTATACGTATGCCTTCACGCATCCATCCGTCCATCCATCCATCCGTGCATGCATGATAGTCAGGAGTGCCAAAACTGCGGAGAGCCCGTGAGCTTGCTTCAGTCGCGATCACACGAAGGCTCCAGGGCCTCAAAGGGCCAGTCGATCGTCGTGCCTTTGGCCTCGGGTAAATGCCTTTTTCCTTTTTCCGGTTCAGCATTTCCAAACCCCCTAAGCGCCCCCGACCCCCGACCCTAAACCCTGCAAGCCATGAGCCTCCAAACATCAGAACTGGCTTGAGGCCAGGAAGCCTTAAGAGCCTTAAGAGCCTTGAGCTGTTCGATAGGATCTCTTAAGCCAGGTGAAAGGCCCTTCGAAGTCGAGTGGCTCGCCAGCAGAGCAGCTGGCACCCACCTGCGCTGCAGGATTCAATGCCGCCTACGAGAAATGTTTGGGAGGACGCCCTACGCTTTCATTGCATTAATTTATGATGTCATATCTACTGCCGGTTTTCCTCAAGAGTTGGAAGTTCTACTGCCGGTTTTCCTGAAGAGTTGGAAGTCGTAGCCAAGCTTGGGTGCGGCGGCAGGATAAACATGATGGTGATGCGAGCCGCACGTGCATCGACTGTTTTCAGACATGAAATAGGCTTATGACCAAAACATAGCATGGAAGGCTTTGGTGCGGCCCTATAGGATCGGATGCATCCTTTGCATGCTTTGGTGGGTTCCTCTTGCCAAGCCCTGACATGGTATTTACAGATTCGGTTTCAGCAAGCCGGCTCGGCGTGGACATTCGATGACTGAAGGTAACGCCAAGTGCGAAAAGGAGGTCCCCCAAGACCTGACTTACATAACACCGGAAGGAAAAAACGGCTATTTGATGATTATCGTCGCCGATGAGAAGGACGCCTATTGCGCCTACACTGGTGGCTGGGCACAGACGTCTGAGCATCTAGCTTCACAGTTAGTAGTTTTGTTCCTTTCTTGGACTTTGCTCGATTCTCAAGCCTCTGAGTTTCCTAAACTCGAATGCGCAAACTTGGAGCTCTAAGCCCTGGAGCCCGCCGGTGAAGGTATTATCCGGATCCTTCTGCGTGCTTCGCGAGCCCGGGTCAGTCCGAAGCTCTTTTCTACGATGCAACGTCCCTATCTCTGGCGACATGGTCCAAGGACGCACGCGTTTTAGTAAGTCAATTTCGGCCTTCGGGGAACAATTTTGAATCCTGAGCTGTTCTCGCATCCTTCTGGGCAGTCCTCTTTTGCTATCGTTTGCATGTCTCCATGGCTGCAGCAGCCAGGAGACCGCGGTCGCGGGCCCACTGAAGCAGGACGGGCTCTTCGATCAAGCATAATCAAACATATATAGGTCTCCCACCAGCAGCTTGTTTGCTGCCAATGCCCAAACTTGTGACAGCTGGTTTAACCTCCGAAGACGAAAAGAAAGGATGTCACAAGCGAAGATACAATAGCAGCTTTGCGCGGGTACGTTTTGGGAGCGAAATTAGGATGAACACGGGGTCTTCGCTGGCCGGTGCCCGTGTGTGGCAGTCATCCTACATACCTACATAATACATGCATAGGTTCGTGCATTCCTGCAGACTTGTACATACTAGTACATACTAATACATACATGCATACATACGTACATACCTACATGCATACCTGCCTGCCTGCCTGCCTACATACATATACATATACATATACATATACATATACATATACATATACATACACATACATACATACATACATGAACTGGTGTGGATCTCTTTTGGTTTGCGCTTTTGCATGTGTGCGTGTTTGTGGGTCTGTGTGTGTGTGCGCCTTAGCATCTCCCAGCCAGGCGATATCTGAAGAAGTCCGCAGCATCGCCGTAAGCGATCATTTAGACTTAGACGCACCAGGACTACACTGCCTTGTCCTGCTCCGGAAGCGGCGCAGAGCCCTGCAGTGCGACGCCCTCCAAGTACGGCCGGACTCTAACCAAAGCATCTTGACTTCTGCCAGGATGCTGAAAGCCTTCAATGGTTTAGGAACAGCAAGGCTCTCTCTTTAAGCAGGTTGGTCCCCAAGTGTGCAAGCAGTTGTGGGGGCTCGCTTTCTGCTGCCAACGGCCCAGGGTGGAAAAACGTGGCAAGTGGTGCCGCCGGGGGGCGAGTTCAGCTTCGACTGGAGCCCCAGTGACGGATACGTGAACATTGAAACCAAGACGCCGCAAAAGACGCTTGGCCCAGTCAAGAGCTCCAAGAGTCTCAGAGCTTTGAGCCATTTTGCGCCCTTTGGGCATCAGCCGCAAACTCGCGGGCACCGAGCTCATCACTTGTCAGGTGCCTTGTGCGCGATGCCCCCTAAAGGCCTCAACTTTCGATGCCAGCCGTGGCCCTCAAGACCCCGAGGATTTATTTGGTTTCCGTCAAGAACAACCTGGGCCCCAGCAGCAGCAGCGGTTTGTCGAACGACCCTTGGCTATGATTCTGTGGAACCCTTCCAAAGCGCCGTGAAACCCTTCATCAATCCAATGCAACCCTAGTTGAGTTCAGGTTTGAAGGTCAAGTTCCGCAGGCTCTCAGCAGTACCCATGAAAGCTACAGTCGCGAGTCTTCAGCTGCACAAAGACCTTAGCCCTAAAAGGCCCATGATCTCAGAGCCCGGAGTGTTAGGACTACAGTCCTATTCCCAACAGTTGGGACCTTCACATCCTAAACCTTCTCAGAAGGACACCTCCCCAAACAGGACATCCCCTGCGGTGGAGACGGCTCCGTCGATTTTCAAGCCAAAACGCTGCTCGGTCTGTCACCCCGATTCCTATCCAGGGTTTGACGCAGCACTGCGGTCTTGCTTTGAAGGCGCTACATCAGTACTCACAATCTTCCAGGCCTCATGAGAGGGACCCAATCCAAGCCGAGGTTTCCAATCAATGGCCTCGGCAGCGGCTGCCAGAAGGACACTTTCGACACCTCTGAGTTGTCGGGCTCGAGGGTTGTGGGGTATGAGATGGTATGAGGCTTCTGCCTTTTGGGAACTGGAACTTCGCAGGGGCTGTCGGTTTCAGGGGTGGTTGAGACCTTCCTGAGCCAGATGTTAGGCATCTGGGTGTCGTAGAAACTCATCCAGATCATTTCGATTCAAATTTTGGCTCCAAGCAGAACCAGAAAAGTGCAGGGAAAGGGGTCCACTCCCAACAAGCGTAGAGCCGGTCTCACTGTCTTGATGTTCCTGTGATTGCACAGTCCAGCGACAGTTCAAATTGTCAAAGGAGAACTTGAGCTTTCATTTCGTGAACTAACGCCGCGGAAATCCACAATCCAGAGCCGGGAGCTCTATCACAATGTTTCGAAAGACCCTAAGTTTTTGCTGCAGGACAACGACGACTATTGGATGGCTTTCGGCAGCGGCACCGTGACGGTTTGCTTTCCCGATGTCCCCTGCTAGCTCGACGGTCCTGCCTGAGATCGCCTGAGTCTCATCAGTGGAGGCCACCTCTTGACAGGGTTTACAAGGCTTGACAACGGCATTGTATAGCCGTGGGCAAAGTCGTCTGCCGCATGTTCACGGTGTCAGTCGGTGCTGTTGGTCAGCAGGTCCTCATCGGTTGGTTTAAAAACTCTCGCGAACGCGACCTAGCATCGTGCAAGCCCACAGCTTGAAAGTCCGAAATGAGCCTTAGACTCCCTGCGTTGTCGCATGGGCAAAGTCCCATTCTTTTGCCACTTCCAGCTGAGTTTGGATGGCGTTCCGGGGACATCACCCACACCGCTTGCAACTTTTATGTGAGCCACAGGAGGGGGCGGGTGCAGACAGGTAGCGAAGTCCACAATCATTGCGAGTATAGGATTGCAGATGTCTGTCTTGCACTCGACCTGGCATGCCATGCACTTGGCAATGTTTCTGCGTCTTTTGCCGGCTCTGGGTCGGACACGCATTTGCTTCACAGTTGCTGATGTGCTTCGCCTTCCAGGCAGGCCCCTGCATGCTCCTGCATCAAAGAGTGGTGCGGGAACTGGCACAGTGCGGCAAAGTCGGTGGCAACAGGAGGGTGGTCTTCGGTTGCGACGCTTTCGCTCGAGGGACAGGGTTTTCCCCGACCTTAAGGCCCAAACCCCCTTTCCTCACGCCGGGGTTTGTGATGGGCCCTGCAAAACCCACATTTTCCTTGGAGACAACTCAAGATCCGGCGCTTCGCGGTGCAACCTCGAAGAACTGTTGCTCGCGAGGGGCCTGGAAGGACTTTTTTGCGTGTAGACTTGGGTTTGGGCAACTTCTCGAGTTTGGAGTCCCAGTCCAGGCCCTCGCTCTTGAAAGTCTTTGTTTGCAAAGGCAGAGTCCCGGATCTGCCAGGCTTCAGCCCAAGGCCCCAGCTTCCTCCGGAAAGCCCACAGTCACGAAGTAGCTGCTGTCATGCCATGCCGCTGCATATCTTCATCCGCAAGCTCACGTGGCCAGGATTTGTTTTTGAGGATTTCCCCCCTAATGCGCCGTGCTCCAACGACACGTGAGCCAGGAACAGCCGTGTTTGAGCAAGACGTTTGAGGCCACAGCTGCAGGTGCGACGGTGTGAGGATGTGTGTGCAACGCTTGATAGAAGTTCAAGAAATGCCGCAAGCGCGGACTAGCAGGGAAGGAAGCCTGCCCTTCCCCAGGCAAGCACTCGCCGTCGGGCCAGTGTCTGCGGCGCACAGCAGCGCCCTCAAGAAATAGGAAAACAGGGAGAATGAGAGTCGAAAACACCTTCAGTCGCGAACTTTCGCAGACGGTCGCAATGTTGCAGAATTTTTTCTTGCCACTGGCCCGAGTTTCTAGCGGTGGTCAGCCTGGCCATGGCATCCGATGGCATGCGATGGTCTCTTGCAGCTGCAGCGCGCGCTGCTTTCTCTGCACATGCATCTCTACCGCTCTTCTCACCTTCTTGTTTATGGAAGTTTCCCAGCACTTAGAATCTAAACTTTGGCGGTCCTATGCAATCATTATACTCAGCGAAAACCAGAGCCATCCACACGTGACTTCGGACTTCGACGACATCTTGGCTCGGGTGCATTCGGCAGCGCCAAAGCCTGCCCGCGCATCTATCGCCATCAACCTGAAGAGGAGCAAAGCGCCATCTGCGTGCAAAGAAGCGTCAGGTGCGAATCACACAGGTGCAGCGATCATGGTGGTCGGCCTCTGGGGGAATTTCCTTGATCCCATTAGCAGTAGCAAAAAGCTCTGGCTAAAAGAATTCAATGAGACTGGTCGTGCAGCCCTTCTTCGCAAAGGCATCTCCACGATATCCAAATCACAGCAGGTCCACGTTCTGGAGCCCTTGAAGTCGTTCGGATTTATACCTGAATATTTCGTGTGCACGGAGCAACTTGACGGCGAGCTGCCATCTTGGGTCACGGCGGCATTTGCTTTCGATGCACAAAATCAGTTGATGAGGCTGAAGGGATGTCTTCAACTTGTCCTCCAGAGAGAGGCCAAGTGCAATCTTCGGTATTCATTGTTCATGAAGATCCGGCCCGACTTCCTCACGCTGACGGATATTCCAAACCCCTTGCGAGCGCTCAGCGTCGGCTGTTTCCTGAGTCGCGTGCGCTCAGCGAACCACATTGAAGGCCTGACGAATGAACATCTTTCATACTGTTACTGCAGCAAAGATTGCTGCAAAGGAAACTTGCCCCAAGCCAGTCATAAAGACAACACCCGGGACTTCATGGTGGACGATATGGCCTTCATTGCAGGCAGAGACGTGTTTTTGCGCATTTGGCAGGGTCAAGGGGTTCCCCGTCAGCCCCTGCCATCTTGGCCCAAGATGCCGCCCAGCTTTCCGGAAGCCCAATTTACAACCGTGTTACTTCAGAAAGGTGTGCCTGTCTGTCCACTAGCACTGCGCGGCCTGCCTTTGTCTTCAGTTTACGGTGCTTATCACATGGAGCAATCCCGTGGATGCGGCTATATCGAGGGTGGTGGATCGATCAAGCAAAAGTGTGGCAGCTCCCTAAATGGGACGCACATACTGCAGCCATTCTAGAGTCAGCTAGCCCAAGCTGATCGCTCTTGAAGCTCTGACAGGCGAAACTGAGCCTGAGATGCTGAGCTGGGTGCAGAAAAGAAGCGCCCTGAGATCACTTGCAGGCCGCTTGCATAGCTGTTTGCACATGGGAGTCGCGGCCTTCTGGGAGGCTCTTTCCCATCTACCGTCCCAGATGGCTCAGGTACACTGGCGAGCTCGCCCACATCGACACCGCTATGCACAGGAACAGGCTGACTGCTTTCGCCAACCCCAAACACCTGCCCAAAGCCGGAAAGCAGAAATCCTAGCCGGATGCACATGGCTTCAGTTTGAGGCCTATCTAGCACTGGTCTTGAAATGCTCGGCAGTCGATCCTGCCGGCCTGACTTCAAGGGATGATCTGGGTTTCAAGGGCGTTGTCTTGTGTGTTGGCTTGCGGGTATCTCCGGGCGAAGTAGCCAAACGCAGGTCCTTCCAGACGGGTGAACGGCAGACTCGCTGGTGAGTAGTGCTTGCTCGCCTCAGATGTGATGTTCAAGGCAACATTTGCTGCGGAAGTAGCCAGAACAGGAGGTCATGTCCCAGTTGCCGATGCCGGGAAGTATCCAGCAACTCGGAGTCCAGAATAAGAGGGCCCGGGTTATCAATAGGTGTGCAAGCAAGGACCCACACTTCTGTGAGATTTCGTGGCTTTCTTGAACTGCAAGGCAAGAGATCGCAGTCCTTTTACTTCGTTGGTAGGACTGTTAGGAGCTTCGAAGCCTTCGCCTGCTGCTATTTATGTTTAGAAGCATAGCCTACCAGCATTCCACCAAGGTACTTGCAGCATGTTCAGCACACGATGCCACCGCTGCCCTGCTACCACAGTGGCCACGATACGGCGTTGACCGACAGCACTTCGGCAGATTAAGGCTTCAGGATTGCCGTAGTGTATGTCGTGGCTGTCAGACGGTCAGTGTTCGCCTTCCTCGCGATGTCCTCTGGTCGGAGCTTGTCTTTACAGGATGCAAGGACAGCCGTGCCTTCTTGGGGTGCTTGTGTTGAGGGCAGGCGAAAGCACAAGAACCCAAGAGCACCGTGCCCCCAGACATTCGAACTGCTCTCCCCCTTTCTCTGTAACACTGCCGGATCTGGCCCGAAGAGGGCACTACCAGGTGTCGAGCAAGCATGGCACATTTCCACGGGTCACGAATCTCTCAGAAGATCGCTATCACTGCTGTTACAACAGCTGCTGTTGCTTCGATGGCCACCATTGCCAGTTTGATTCAATGTTTCCTGCTCTTACTTCTTGCTTCTACACGGTCCTTGCAGCCTATAGGCAGGTCCAGGGCCTGACAGATTGCGAGTTGATCTCACAACCGGTGTGTTGGTGCACGGGAATCATGGAACAGTGCAGTGGGGCTGGGGGGGCTGTGTCACGACGCCAACGGTGCGTTGCTTCTTTCCTCGGGCTGTGTCTACTGGGCCACTATCTGCGAGCTAGATCCATGGCACACCTAGACTGGTTTCCCAGCGCCCGGGCCTGCCTGGCAAGCATCCCGGAATCTTTCAATTTCAACCTGCCTTGGCAAGGTAGTCAGTCCTCGACCACATGGGCAAGCGATGACGAAAAGTATGGTCCACAATCGCAACATGTGCCGCTGCTGCAGGCCTAGAAATGTCAGGGTCTGCAGTCCAGGCTTGAACCACAGCCTCAATCTTCACATTTTCATGACTTCGTGGCAGCTCAGAGCATGCAGCAGGATTTTGAACTGCGCTGACAGCCTACTTTTGCACGCCAGGATGCTACGGTGCAGCAAGCCGCAGCTTGCTGAGCCTCTGTGCACGTTTAGGGACCCACCGTCGCCGCCCCCTCGTGCACACCTCAGACCCAAACCCAAAACACAAAGCTCCCAAGCTCCCCAGCTCCTGCTTCGTGTTCTAGGGTCTCTGGCTCTCTCTGGAGGCGATGAGCGTTCAGCAGCACAGACCCGAGCATGACGTCCACTTTCAGAGCAGGAGAGGCTTAGCGGCTCGAAACTGGGACAGTCTGTCAGGGTCTTCAAAAAATACTCAGAGACCTCCAGGTGTTGCTCGTTATGCAGGGGAGAAGCTGCAAACCCTAGGTGGGCATTAATTTTCCAGTCTGTTCCCAATCAAGGACATTTTGTTAGAGGCTGAGGGGACCTGGTAAGTACGTTCACAGAGGCAGGGTAATATTCAGCATTAGTGTCTTCAAGCTCACTCGGCCTAATCAGTTACACCGCTCACTGCGGATTGTGCCAGAGCCGGGCTAGTCTTGAGCTATAGGCGTTCAGCAGGAACATCAACCCCGCAACCCCACGAGCTCTAACTGTTCTAGGTATTTCAGTCACCCGCAAACCCTGCCCTGGAATCCAGATGCCATCCCCAGCCTCGGGTAGAGGTTGGCGGCCCCACACGCCTGCAGGACGGGTACTTTTCAGCAATGGATCGCGAGTTCCGAAGAGTGGACAACGGCGCCCCGATTCAATAGCTCCTTGTGATGATCCTAAGCCATCGAGGTTAGAGAACGTCGAGCACCGGAGTTCTAGGCTTGTTTCTGATTGGGTTCTTCGAGCCCAGCATTGAGAAACCCGGCGAATGTCAGGCACCAAAGATAAGATTCCCTAGGGCGTTTCAGACAAGTTTGGACCCTGTATAGATCCTACACGGAGACAATTTTGTTGTAGGGGACCCCCCAGAAAGGGAACCACCGTTTGTGTTTCAGATGGAGTTTGACCATTGTCGTGACCCGTACCACTTCCAGCTGTCGTTCGTGTATGGTGTATGTATGTATGTATGTATGTATGTATGTATGTATGTATGTATGTATGTATGTATGCTTGTATGCTTGTATGCATGCATGCACACAGACGCACACAACACACGTACATATACATTTAGTACATCATATAGAAAGGTAGGTAGCCAGGCAGGCAGACAGACAAACAGACAGACCGACGGACAGACAGATAGATAGATACATAGTTACGTAGAAAGAGACATACATATGGCAGTCGTGTTAATCTTTTGCATTGTTCACTTTCCGCCATTCTCTGTAGTCTTAGCCTTAGACAGTATAGTTTTCCAGAAGTGGCAGATGGAATCTGGGCACTCGCAACCCAGACCTCGTGTTCCGGGTAAAGAGAGCCTCCACAGCAACAGGCCCGGAAGTCATTTCAAGATGACTGTTTGAGCTTCTGAAGGTGATGCTACGCAACCTTCCACCATGTTTTTCTCGTGGACGCTTGATCTATTTGCTCGCCAGGGAGGGTGTCGTGGCAGAATCAGCAGATTCAGAGTCTAGACTGCTCCTCCGCATATTTTTCTGCTCGGTTTCTTGGATGCGCATCCACAGGGTTCCTGCCAGAGTCTAGAGCAAGCCCAGGGCATGTTGTCCACCACCAGGGTATTGGCCCTGGCGGGAGTCAGCGGGTAGACCAGCAGCGATGAGCCTTAATCCTGATATTCGGTGTCATAAAGCAACACCTCCTTGGTACAACAAGCCGTTTCCATACCAGTTAGAAGATTCTTCAGCAGTGGCAGAGCTGGATGGGAGTTTCCGAAAATAAGGGACCCTAATATAGTACCCTGAGTAGTAGGATCGCTATTATAAGGACCCCTAACTAAGGTACCCCTAAAATTCGGAAACTCCCGGGAGCTCGAGGTTTGACGGCTCTGAGTCTGAGATGTCTGAGGCTTTGCCGGCACCTTCGACTTTCTTTACGTACCGCTTTGCTTCAAGGAGCCTTCCTCAGCTTTACCAGTTCATTTTTTAGGATTTCGGTGTCCACGAACAAAAGACCTGGGGGAAAGGCCATGTAAAGTCCCGATAGGAATTCTTGCAGAACCCTCATAGAAGCCAGATTCCAACTTTCCGTGCAAGCCCCTAAGCAGGAGAAGGTCTCCTTGTGCTATGCCTTCATCAACTTTCTCGATACAGACACTTGGTCAACGTGAGGCATCTTTTGTACCTGTTGCAGTATCAAGAAGGAAGAACATGAGAAGGTTCTTGCTTTCTTTCGCTCCGAAGAGGGACCCAGGACACAGTGGCCCGCTTCTGGAAGCACTTCTCCGGCTTCAAGAACTGGGGGTTCCCCAGCGTTCCTTGGGCGGAAGTAGAGGGGAAGCATAGGAGATGGTGGGTTCGCAGTGAGCATGACGTGCTAGGCATACGGGACTGGGTATCTTGAAGCTTAGTCGTCTTCATCCTGCAGGCCTCTGCTGAAGCCCTGGCCAGAACTCTTGCACCTGCCAGGTTCAAGTCGCTGAGGTTTGCTGGTGTGCGCGGCACCAGGGGTTGAGCGAAGCCATTGAGTACTACCGGAACCTTGGACGCTCTCGGACATGTTGTCTTGCGCCTGCCTAAAGACGTCGGTCAGTCTTGTCAAAGACAGCGGAGGAACAACAGCGTGATGCATTCTAGCGTGCCGGACGAGTGCAAACCTGTCTCTCGGAGGAAGTTCGGGAAGACTTTCGATTCTTCAGTGCTCCATTCCGAGCCCTGAAACTCAAGAGCAGAACAAGGTACTCTTCTACAGGGGCAGCCGGACACTTTTTCCGGCACCCACCAAAACCATCAAAGTTCCCAAGAAGGCAGCTCTCCTGATCGAGATACTTGAGATACTGGATGGTCGGGTTCCCACCTTGCGGCTCGCAGCACGAATGCTCTGCCTTTAAACACTCTGCAGGGAGCTCCCACCCTGTCTCAGTCGACCTCCGGCCTTTACAAGCGAATGTCTTTGGCACCCTTTGCAGGTGAAGCACACGAACGAAGACGGGGTCATTTCGCATGGTCGCTTGGCAAGTCCCGGAAAGCGGCTGGGAGACCTGAGGCCAGGAAGGCTGCCACACTCCAGAGCTCAAGAAAAAGAGGCCCTGTCGCGTCTGCTACGTACTGCTACTGCTACTGCTAACGCGACGACGGTGGCTAATGCTACTGCTGCCGTCATTGTTGCTACTGCTACCACTACTGCTGCTACTACTACTACTACTACTGCTGCTACTACTACTACTACTACTACTACTACTACTACTACTACTACTACTACTACTACTACTACTACTACTGCTCTTCATACTACGACGGCGACGAGGACTACCTCCCACGACTTCCACGACGTCTACTCATCATACGACACCACGACTACTCGTCAGAGCAATCGTGACCGTCGTTACGAAAGTCGTTCTCTTTCGATGAACCATCTGAGGTCAGCAGCTTCTCAACGGACACTCTTTGGGAGCTGCCCCTTTGCTTACCTTGACCCTGTGATCTCATGCAAGGGCCTTGGGGCCCCTGTGGAGGGGAGGTCCAGTTCTCCTTCAAAGCAGCAGTAATCTTAGCCAAGAGCTTCTGCCGATTGAAGGTCGTTAGATAGCTGCAGCCAGTTCGTGCCGCTGTGGTGAAGTGTTTTCCTTATTCGTTGGCCGTTGCTACCGACCTCGGGCTCAGAAACTCAAAGACTTGTTTGCATTCGGCGCCAAGCGCGTGGCCGTGCGTCCAGTCGAAGCCATTTCACACCTGATTTGCTTTCACACGGTGGCGGAGGGACAGGCAGCAATGGAGTCACAGACAGGCCTGCCCAGTGAACAGAATCACAAAAAAGCAACCTACACCCGACACCCCAAGTTTGTGAATGCTTGTACTGCAGCAGAGCCACCCCATGCTCATGGCGTGTGAGAACTGGGGCCAGTCAAGGCGGTGTAAAGCAAAGCTTGGAAGCTCAGTCTTTTGTAGCGAGAATTGACCCGAGAGAACTAGAGACCCAAAGACCCGGCCCTTGGCGTCAGCGTGCGAAGTTTCACCGTGCCATTTATGATTTCGGCTCGAGACGGAACTTGTCTCTGAGGCGTGTTCGACTCATGTTCGGTTTTTTCCGGACAGATGTCAAATGTCAAGCCGTCATCTCGTGGGTTGGGCCCATCGGTACTGCTGAATGATGAGTAAGACTGTTAAGAGAGGGGGTTTGGGCCTGCTGGCCACGTGGCATCGGGTCGAGTGCCGAACGGCAAGCATCAGGCTTTTGCAGTAGGTCAGTCCGGGCTTCCGCACTTCCATCTTCTTACTTGGACCTTGTGATTCGAAATTCGGAAGACAAAGCGGAAGCCCCTAATCCGTGGCCTTTAGTTCGACTGAAGGCCTGTATTTGAAGCAGTTGTAGCTGAGACGCCACACAGACATCACAGGTTGCTGCAGCTGCATGTTTTGGGGATTGAGGCTTCAAGGGTGGGTGGGGAATAGGGTCACGGCTGCAGCAGTGTGCGTGGCTCAGCATTTATCAAGAGAGATTCAGATTTTCGCACGGAGTGCACTTCAGCGCAACTGATCGTTCTCCGTTGAGTGTCGTCGCAGGGGTGCTTTGGCTGTCCACGAGCCCCTGCTCGGGCACCGGCACCTCTTGGCGTGGCACCCTCTCAGATCGACAAAAGCGCTCCTGTGCAAACGACGGACGTCGACAAAATCCCATTGCATCATCGGCTAAATCACTGAAGGTTTCAAGCAGAGTGCTTGCCAGCAGGGCGACATGGTTTGAGTCGTGGACTACGCACGAGCATTTGTTGAATGAGGACTTCAGCCTTTCCTGCAAAGCTCATGTGACGGCTTAGGGCTTACAGGCTGAATAGTGACCTCTACCATCCGCCCGGTTGGCAGCCACGATTGCATGCGGAATCCTTTTCTTTCTGCGGAGCCATGCTGCAAAAACAGGAAATGTCATAAGTCATAGTGTGTAAACCGTAAACCTTAACTTCCAAGCTTAGGGTTATTCGCGGTTGAAGCACATTAGATGGGGAGTTCGTGTGTTGAGCGTGAGACAGCCATCGGTTCGGGTTTCGCAAACCCGAGGCTTCGACAAGAAAGTCTCCAGAGATGTTTGTTTCATGGGCAGGTGACGAAGTTGAGGCAGGTTAGGCTTTGGTGGGCGTGTCTCGGACGATGCCAAACTTTGGGATGTGTGAGGGGTGTCTTGAGGTGATGCTTGGGGTTGCAACACACGTGTGGCAGTCGCATTGAGCACTGCTTACCATGCACCAAGACGTCCCTCCATACATGGTGGCCGTTTCGCAAGCTTTGCAGCGCAGAGGCCTCCGTGCGAAAGTAGCTGAGTAGCCAATGGCCTCGACTTCTGGTTTGGACGGTCTTCCCAAGCGCTTTGTAAAGAATCAGGTGGGTCCCGCTGGCGAGGAGCTAGGATGGGACGCAGTCAAGAAGCTTCGGGTAAACCAATCCAGTGCTTCTAATCCTATCCATGTGAATCAGATTGAGATCTATGGGTGCGATGGCATCAACCATGCTTTGCAAGCGAATGGCGGCCAGGCCCGCCAGTCCTCCATGCATGGTTCTGGTGAAGGGTATGGTCCTGCACATCTGGTTATCGACGGCTACCGCTGGGGCCGTTGTAATCACACTGCTCATGCAGACAATGGTTGGCTCGAAGTGGAGCTGGCCAGGCCGACCGACGTGGAAAGCTTTGTTATCTTCAACATGTCTGATGATGAGTATGACCATCGGATGCGTCTGTGTGGCCACACGGTGAAGCTATTCGACGAGTCTGATCGTGTTGTGTACCAGCAAGAGATTACTTTAGATGGTGATTCGTCCTTGTTCGATAAGGAGCAGAAATGCCGACAGCTCTGGGTAAATGAGGATGCCAAACCTGTGTTGGCAAACTTGACCTTGGAGAAGGACGAGGCCAGAGAGGGCCACGCCAAGATAACTGCGACACAGATCAGTGGCAAGCACCTCGCAACATTGTCTATGGACATTGCAACCAGCCGCTTTGTGGAGAGCCTTTGCCACCGCATACACGAAGAAGCTGGCATACCAGCCCACTCTTTGAGATTACTGCTTCCTGATGATCGAGTGCTGCGACTGCACAGCGACATGGAGGTGAGTCTGGAAGGGTTGCTCTCAGACACGGGCAAGGCAAGCGCCGCAAGCGCCGAGCCCTAGGCGCCCTGGCCGGACGAGGGAGAGTTACCGCATCCTTCGGGGACTTCCACCTGCTAAGGCGAGAAAGGGTTGGAGGCGTGGGTCAAGTGAGATTTGATGCTTTTCTTTGAGCTGCCACCCGCTTCATGTTCAGCTTCTTGTTCTTGTAGCTGCTAGCCGCTAGCCCAGGTTTTCGGGCATTTGAGTCTCTTCAAGCTGACACGAGTGCAAAGATGCGGGCTTGCTTTCAAGAATGGCAGAGCAACGCTTCGTCTAAGCACTACGGCTGGATATTTTGCCACTGTAAGCCAGATGTCTACAGGAACATTAAGTGGGTGGAATAATTCCGACACTGTCGGGTTGGTACATGGTGGAGCTATTCCCGGTGTCAGACAGCACTTCTTGTGGTTCTAGCAATCTGGTTCATTCTCGGCTTTTTCGCTGCCACTGTCTGGTCGACTCTTGACGGTTTGGCTTGGTTGTCACGGTCAGGAGTAACAGGGGCATTCACCCTGTCACCGTTGTACATCCCAGCACTTTAACCGAGCTAGTCCTCAACACCTGAAGGTGGTCCTGCGGCCCCACGTTCGGCTGCAATCGGTGGCCCGGGCGAAAGCTGCTATGACCGCCAGGTGCATCATGCTCAATGCTCAGACTGCCTTAATAATGCTGGGTGTGCTCCTGTTTCAGCACTCAGGAGAACCAACGAGGCACCAACAGTTTCGAGCTTACATACAGCACTGAGGAACTCGTCACACGGAGACTTTTCCACACAGACATCTTTTTGGACGACGAAGGTAGGAAAGCCTTTCAAATCCTTGGAAGCGACTACACCCAGAGCGGATTTCTCACATTCCAACGGTGAGCCGCGACAGCAATCGAGGCACCATTCCGGTGCAGGGGCCGCACGGACTGCGTCGCGCCGCAACCATGACGACGGCACGTCTGGTATGCGAATGTAAAGCCACCCCCACTAAGCCCTTGGTAGTATTTTCAGTCTTGGGGTGATCGATCACAGTCTTGTAGTCTAACGCGCGTCACGCATGGCCTTTCCCACATGCCACATGGATAGATGACGAGCTGCAGCTTGAAGTCCCAATCGCCAAGGCGAAGACAGCGCCGAAACGCCTGGTGCTTCTGTGTTCTGAGATGCGGCAGGCCGAGGGGCTTCAGCGCACCTGCGTGGCGACCTTCACCCTTCGCTTCTTTCCTGAGCCTGAGCGAGTGTTTTAGGCATCACCAAACACGTCGAGGGCTTCTCCTGGGGCCCAGATCGCGAGGCTTGGCCCGGAGGCGTCGGTAAGGATCGGTCGGTTGTCATGGCGCCTTCGTCTCGTGGTTTCTGGCGGCGGTGGTAGGTGGTGGTGGTGGTCGTGGTGGTCAGTGGCAGTGGATGACGGCTGTCGTCGTTCTGGCGGTGGCAATGAAGGTTGTTCGGCGGTAGCTGTCGCTGATTGGTGGTTGTTGGTTGTGGTTGTACATTGTGATCCACCTCCAGCCAAGGCCCATCCTTGAACCAGACAGCCACCACTCCCCAATCGCTTCAAACCCAAAAGCCCTACCCACGGGAAGGCCGAAATTCGTTCAGCCCTCTGCTCTTGGCTCAAACGGGTGACGCTTTGACCAAGGGCTGAGCTTAAAGCGCTTTTTTTGGGAGCCCAAAGAGGATGGAGACAGCATGGCAAGCAAGCAAGGGATACCTAAGCCGCTCAATGTGCGTCTATGAGGGGTGCAGCAAGAGTCGTCATGGTCGGGGTGCTATAAGCTTTCTAGATTTGACGCCTTCGCTCTGTTGTTTCGTTGAGCAGTTGGAAGTGCCATGGCAGCAGAGGCGGGCTCATATTATGCGCCACGCATTCACACATGTTTGGGTGTCTTGAGATTTGTCCGGATTCGGAACACTCTCCCCGGACCCACCCTCAACCCTTCATGTTTGCTTCCTTCAAAGCCGGGGTCCTTCAGACGATTATCACAGTCTGCAGGCCTCAGTCGCATAGGGATCACGGCTCTAGATCAGAGCATCCGCAGGTTCGGGTGTGTGGCCTTACCGATTTAAGTCCAATTCCTCTGGCCTTGTCCTTAATGGTGCCATGAGCCTGCCGCCGCCATGCTGAAGGCCGTTGTACGCTGCGAAGTGCGGTACCATCGAGGTGCGGATAAAAATCAGGGTGTGCAGTCACTCAGCCCTGGAATCCAGAACCATTGAGAAAGCTCGTTGATCTTAGTCTCGAGCCGACCTGATAGCATCCGGACTCAAGATCTAGAATCTAGAGGTTCAAGCTTGACCACGGGACTTGGATCCAGACCTTCAGCGTTGAAACCTGTTTTTGAACCTTCCTGGAACCCGAAGTCCGAAGACCCCAAGCGCTGTGCAGGTATCGAACAGCAGGATACAGTTCCAGAAGGTGCGGCTGCAGAGCTGGCAGACCTCCCACTCCGCCTACAATTCTGACAGGTCTTGAAGGACCAAGGGGGGACTTATCAAGTCGGGTATATTTGGTTTTGAAGACTCGAACACGAGAATCGCGACGCAGGGCACTCAGGATCCCGACTTGAACGAGATGACTTTGTCGTGTCTAGCAGGCTACATCGTATCTTTATTCAGACTCTTCACAGGGCTCGCGGTGGCCCAGCAAGCAAGGCAGTTGCATATTGCGGATAGCCTTTTGGAGCGCCCAGAGAAAACTGCGTTAACATCACTCCCCAAGTCTATGTCTGGTGAAGCCAGGGTTGAAGTTCGGGCCACAAGACCCTGCTGTTGGCAGATGATGACCCATATGACACGCTCTTGCTGCGGATGAGCATCACCCTGCCGGGCACTCGGATTTTGGGGGTTATGCTTCCTGGGGTTGAATGGCGGACGGCAGCTCCGTAGTTGACACGATTGAGACTTCCGACATCGTGTTGAGGTTGCAGTGTTCCGCACAACTCGAGACAGGAAATCCGAAGCGAAAGGTCCGTGCCATCGGAACTCCTATGGTTTCGACTTCAGTCCTTCAGGAAAGGAAGCTGCCTTGTTTTTGCAAAAGGGCGGACACGTCCAAGAGACATGAAGTCCCAGCCCAGGGCCCAAAGTGGCGAGGATGCCGCAGACGAGGCCAGGTCAGGGCACGCCCAAGTGTCTACAATTTACCCAGGGATTGGCCCGTGTTCGATTCGGCCCGCACCGTTCGCCTCGTGACCTTGCTCCCTACAATTTTTGAGAGCCCCAACACGACACCCTGAATTGGAATGGCCATGGCCCTATGGCCCTAAGCGGGCCTTAAAGCGTCTGCTGGGTCCCGGTTCACACAAGCCTTGTGCTCAGTTGCAGCTGCACGGCCGATGGGCCGCCATGCTTCAGACCGCCGGGCCGGGGATCCCAGACAAGACTTGAAGAGATCTTAAAGTCTTGTAAAGTTTGAGGGGAAGAGTCTAAGTTAGGGATGGGCTTGGGCTTGGGCTTCAGCGCGGTCAAGGTGTGTGTGTGCTTTGACCCTACCTCGGCCGCAGCATACCAGATCGCAGTTTCTCCGGAGGCCTGGGGACATGCTGCAGCTCGAGGGCGTCGAGGACAGAGACTGCAGCTTATTGTTTGCCGTTTGCCATGTCCCGCTATGATGCCCGTGTCTGCTGTCCTTTTGAGTTTGGGTTCGTCATGTCAACGGGCGGGAGATTTGGGCTTGCAGACGCAGAGGAGCTCTCGGACGATCAGCCACGACCTCGGAAAGGTTTGCTTAAGACTCGGGCTGGGCCGTCTGGCCATCTTTGAGAACAGGCGGCCTGAGCGAAGGGCTAGTTGCAGGGCCCTAAGTCCGAAAGGTGTTGAAGTGTTGGAGCGGAATGAGGCGGAATGGCCGCTGTTTCTCAGTCTCCGGCGACGCAGCCGCCACAGCCCTGGGAGGAAATTCCAATGGACTCATCGGGGTCTCAGCCAGATGTGGCAGCTTCGAAAACATGAGGGAGCCTTGCAAATCCTTAACTTTAGAGACTTTAAGGCCCCACATAAAAGCCCAGAGGATCTGAAGGACGCTTCCGAAGCCGAAGGCTTCAGGTCCACAGGAATGCGAAGCTTGCTGAAATCAAAGCACCCGGTACTAGTACACTAGTACCCTCTCGGCTCGAGGCTGTAACCATCTACCGGGATGGCTTCCACTACCGTGTGGACAAGAAGACCATGGAGGCACCCTCGACGCCCATTGTCCTCAACTTCTTAGCCCCCGAAGCCCTACATTCCGAAGCAGAGACACCTGCTCAGAAGCTGGACCTGCCGGAGTGGTTGAGGATTCCTCCCTCGAGGAAGGCGGACTTGGGGTGTTTTCAAGGCTCTGTAACAGCAGATCGGTCTACTAAGAGTCAGCTGCTTTTTCCTGCAATGAAGTGTGGGCGGAGCTCGTGCCAGCTCGTAGTTCTGTCATCCAGGCAGGCCCAGTTCGGCCAGTGTATGGCGTCCGGATCATCGTAGCTTTGGCATGTGGTGGTTTGCTGCTATCGGCATCACTTTCCCGGGTACAGAGAGCAGCCATTGACGCCTTCCACAATTCTATTGATTTTATTGGTGATTGCTTAAGGTCTCATGTTGAGGGGCGTTTGAATTGAGACAGGGTTGCGACGACATGCGTTTTCATCATGCAGCCGCTGCCTGACTGCAGCCAGCTTGGGCTTTCAACAGAGCTGCGGCTGTGTATGATTGGGGGTTTAGATATGGGGCTTGCTCAGCATACCAGCAGTAGCCCTACCGGTGCCAACTGTATCAACCCCCTCCACTTGACCCCATGCATGGAACTACTCCCAAAGCCTCAGACAGCTTGAGCCATCCCTCGAAACCTGCAGCCAGAAATGTGTTGTTTACGAGCCTGGAACTTTAGAGTTTTTCACTCTTCTCCTCCGCTTGAGCTCTGACATGGCCGAGACGGAGGAGGCGCGACGGGAACTGAACGGAGTGCTGAGTGCTCTGGTGACTCTGGTAGCTTCCGCCTCTGATGAATCGACCCAATCTCTCCCCGAGCCTCGGAGCCTCCTTGACGTGCCAGGTCGCAGTAGTCGACGAGGACAGGGACGAAGGCTGAAGGCTTCATTTCGGGGGTTTCGAGACTGACTCGCACTCTTCAGCGTGAAGCAGCCCGAGGTGGTCATGAACGAAAGCTTAGATGACCCGATACTTGAGCTCGCAGGAGCCGCCGCTCCTGGACAGGGTGCCCTGGTCAAAGTTTTCGCCGCTTCGGCCGGGCATTCTCCATGGACGCATCGAGCCAAGCGCGAGCCGAGGCCGATGCCGAATGGCCGGAGGACTTCGATGTCTCGCAGCGCCAGCGCGAGGCGCTGCCCCGGTGGGAACCGAAATCGCTGCAGTGGCATGGCCAGGGCTAAGGGGTGCAGAGAGCTTCGGTGTAAAGCCTGAGGCGCCTTTGGTGTCCTACTTCGAATTTCAGGGGGCCTGAAGACCCAGAAGTGTCTCCGTATGGTTCAACCATTTGAAAGTCTCCTGTGGGAGACAGGTAACTGTTTGATAATGAGGTCGCAACTGCCCCTTCAACCGTTTCAGTTGCTGTGCCTGGCAGGCCATGCAGATGCTCAACTGCCTGTGCGAGGCATTGCGAATTTGGCAATCAGCCGTGATACATAGGCCGTTGACTTGATGTTATGCGGTTATGCGGTGATATGTTCGTGATAACTTCACGAAGCTGCGGGGAGTTTGTGATGGTTTTGCGACATGAGGTCAGGCTAGAATAAGGCGGTGTGCCGCGAGGCCAGTCTTTTGGCATGCACTGCTGCTGGTCAGACTGCCAAGTAGTGTGCCAGCTATAGATAGCTGGAACATCCCATATGCGCCACGAACAGCTTACAGCTGACACTTTACACATACGAACATCTACTAATCTGCCTGAGCCCGACTTGCTTCCGCCCTTGGTGAGGCACTGGTCGCCAGAGGCGCCTGCGTGGTCCGCCGAGCCGGCGTTTCGCCGCGGCGGGCCGAGGAGGCCCTGGAGAACGCGGCGAAGCTGGAGGCCTTGGATTTTGTAGGGGTTTGGGGTTTACCGGAGCTTAGGGGCTCGGGGGTCAGAGTCTCGGGGTGTTTACGGTTCTAGGTTGCCGTACCAGAATCCTCTCTGGTGCAGTCACTGACAGTCATGACTTCAATCGTTCGGAGATGTTCAATCTCCGGTGCCTGTGAAACTCAGTTAGACAGTCAGACCCCAAAGCCCCAAAGATCCTGTCGAATCATCGGGCTCTGAACGCTTACCAGAGCGTCGTGGGCCTGGGACTCAGTCGGTCATCTCGGGTTATCTGTATGGGTATCCCTTACTTCTCCCTCAGACTTTTGCTGCAGATACCTGCTTTGCTGAATAGCAGGACGTGGGCTGGCTCCGGAAGGAGACGGAGCAGGCAGCCTCGATCTTCTTGCAGGGGAGGAAGGGCTGACAGAATTCGAGAAAAAGCCCTCAAAGCCCTCAGACCTGGTGGGAGGCTTACCTTGGCCTGGAGAACATGACGCGCATCAAGGACTCGATCCGGGTGGCTGGTTGCCTCTGTCTGCATCAAGAGACATCCCTGCCAAAGCCTCGCGTTGTCCTCATGAAGGCCCTAGAGCCTGGAACTTCAACCCGAAGCCGAAAGGAACTCCGAGCCCCCGATGCACCCGCCATCGCGGACGAGCCGGATGAGGACACAGGGAGATCTTAGTCTTAGTTAGAGAAGGGCATCCAAGGAACTTTCGGACCCAGGTGGTGGACTAGAGTGTGTCCCGTTAGCTCTAAGGTGCTAGCACTCTTTCCCCGTAGCTGTGTCCGAGCAGTCATGTTGTCGCCCTCATGATCCAGGTTCTCGGGTTCGGGCTCTCAGTAAACCCAGACTCAAGTCCTTTTGCTGATGACAGACGGTTCCAGATGATTCGGGCTTCAGAGGTGCTGCCCAGGACACTGTGCATGGCCGGCGCAAACCCTGAAGTCCTCGGCAACGAATTTGGAATTTGGAAGCAGAGCTGTCCAATTCCCTTAGCCAAGCATTCCCCAGGCCATATACCCATCTCTCAAGCTTCACGAGGTATGTCTGTCTAAGAACACCTCGTTCGCCTTTTCGGATCAGGCGGATGGAGCCAAGCCAGAGATCGAAGACACCAAGTCGGAGTCGATGCTTGCCGCTACAAGAAGAGACCTTCTTGATGAAGGGTCCTACTATTTAGGGTTCATGTTGTGGTCCTTCAGTTTATGAAACTCCCACATCTGTTCCAAGGAGGCCATAGAGAGCTCAATTGAGCCATCGCGGCACCCGGATCCGGGAAAGCCCTATCGGATAACTCTGCAATGAACACGACTCTTTTGGGTTCCTGGTTTATTCTATAGAGAGCCCTCCTTTACAAGAAACTGCGCAGTGCTTCCACTCCGACTCTGAGGAGCTGGTACGATCCCGAGCTCTACGGCTCCGAGTCCGAGCCGGAAAAGGAAGAGGCGCCGAAGGGACAAGGGGCACCCGGGACGGGACGGGAAGCTAGGCCGAAAGTTCAGAGAGGCGGCTAGGGAGGCTTAGGGGGGTTGATCTAAAGTTTAGGGGTTTGTTTTCGAGACGCTTTGTCCTCAACTTAACGACTGGTTCTTTGCAACGTCGTCTTGCTCCTTAGATCAGAGCCGAACCTTTCTTCCCTGGATCTCGTGCCAGGAGAAGAAGCCGATCGTCCGCAAGAAAGACTTGCCTCCGGACTTCACGGCGCTCAAGGCATCGCGTCGTGAAGAGACCTTGACAGACCTTCGCGAAAGGCCCTCTCGAGTTTCAGCCCTGGGTTTGGAAGGCGTGAGTTGGAAGGCAAGCCCGCTCTGTGTGTACCCCTTCTAACTGCAAGACAGGAGTTTGACGAGCACGTCACCGCTGTGGTCGACTTGCTGTCCTACAGCCCTGAGGCTTATGGGCAGCATGCGACGTACGAAAACTGGAGCTGCAGGGGGACAGGGCGCGTCATGCTTCGGAGCTTGGTGCTGGTGTTCGTTGGGGATTCACGCCATGGGTATGCTCTGCTTGAATCAAAGCACCAAGTCATGCCTCCCTTGTTGCTAGGCCTTCGGCGCCAAGAGTGCGCAGCTGGGCTGCCAGGGCAATCGGCTTCGGTTTTGCTGACGACAAGCTTGCCTCGGATGGGATTTCATGTTTCTATGTTGAGGCATTGAAACCTTGTTCTCAGCTTTGAAGCTCCAGACCGTGAGCACTCGAAGCCATAGGGAGGAACCTTGTCTGTGGGCTCTAGATTCCGCATTTCAAAAGGCTGTAAGCTTTCGTTTGAGCTTTTTGACTTTGATTTGGGATGAGGGTTGGTGAGAGCACCTGGCTCCAAGCCGGTGCGCAAACTTCTGCCCGCCCCTAATTGGCATGGATCCACCTAATTGTCTTCGGCAGCGATCAAGGCACAGCAAGACGGGAAGCATCCTCAGGCCTGCGGCTTTTTCTTTGCCTTCGGCCTTCGGGAAGTGTCCAGGGTCTAGAGTCTAGGGGCAAGGAGCGGAATTCTGAGGGGAGGATTGAGTTTAAGCTTTCAGCTTTGTCGAGGTTCTTGGGTTGTAGCGCGGTGCTCAGGCGGGCTCCGTCTGTCTTGCTCTCCCGGGAGTCGAAGCGTGCTCGGGAACAGGGTTGAGGATTTGAGATTCGGGGCCCACACCCGAGACGGAAACTTGAACGACACGACCCGAGATGCTGCCCTCAACTGCGCGAAGCGAAGCTTGCGACAGGATCCCGCACACTGCCGAGGGTGCCACTTGGCAGCACTGAGGGTCTTTGCCAGGAGATGCAGAACTCCAGCACTGGCCACTGGAGAAGCTTCCGAGGGCTTTGGGGGTCTCTCAACATCTCCCTGCACGGAAGGAGTTGAGCACCAAGGTCTCCTTGGTGGGCCAGGCGGGCGCCATGGACGAAAGGGATCGGCGAATGTCGGAGGAGTTCATGTCCTGGGCTCCTTGGCTGGCTGGGTTCAGAGAACCTTGAGCACACCATCCCTCCCCGCGGTTGCACTTTAGCTTCTTCCATCCCGAAACCGAAAGAGGGCACTCCATGAAGCAGGCATGAAGCCCTTCGAACTCAAAGACGGCAAAGACCAAGCTGTGAGGTTCTTTCTCGCCGACTTTGCGCCTTCTACGAGGTGAATTACAAGCCTAGGGTTAAGTAAGGGTTCCGGGGCTTCATGTTTGGGCCTGTTCAAGAGAACGCTCGAGATTTCCGAATGCTGTGGAAGAGCTTGAGGGCAAGTGCCGACGAATTTGTTGGGAGTCGTGCACTGATCCCAAGATAAGCCGCAAGGAGCCCTAGAAACCCCGGAGCCAAGAACCTCAAAGTCTCAACCCCAATCCTTCAGCCCTGAAGGCCATCCCTCGGCCCTTAAACCCCAAACCTGCAAAACCTCGAAACCCCATCAGCCCCCAAAGGTTCCAGACCCCCGAAGCCCTGAACATCCCGCCCCCCCACCCAAGTTTTCTGGGCAGGTGGAAGGCCAGGGCATCCTCGAGCTGCGGCCCAAGGGCCCCGAGGCCTTGGCCATCCTCCGAAGTTTTTTTGCGGCGTTTTGGTGCTCTGTGGGGCTTAGCGTTTGGAGGGATGCCGGAATCCCGGGCATGATCATTGCATGTTGAGGGGAGGAGCCTCAGTGACTCAGCCTCAGCTCTTTGCGCGAGGTGGGCGTGCCGATGCGGCTGCTCCTGAGAGCAGGGACTATGGTCTTCTTCCGGCATGACCAGATGGAATACAGGCGTGTAAGGGAGGGGGGAAGGACTTGAGGTCTTCCGCCTGTCCTTTCGCTTCGGTGACAGCTCAGAAGATCGTCTGTTGCTGAGTCGGGCTCAAACTGGAGTCTCCGCCAAAACTTCCCTGGGCCGCACTTCTCCAAACACTGAAAATGCAAAGAGCACCTCGCCACCCTAAGCCCTGCTAACACGCTCGATCCTTAGACCCTCAACCGACGCAGGTATCTCCCGGACCACGACGACTGCTTGGTCCTGCAGAACTGGCTCATGGACAAGGCCAGACAGCTGTTGCAGCTCCTGGAAGCTGCAAACTCCAGGAGGCCTTGCATTCCAAGACCCTGCAACCCATCATCTGAGGCCGAACCGCTCCAGTTCCGCCAGCTGCCAAAGTGCCCAGGCACGTCTGACGCGTTCGGCGGTTTGGGGATCCAGGCCTTGAAGCACTAGGGTGTTGAGGTTTCGGGCTGAGGCTGCAGCGGTTCAGGATGTTGCGATTTCGGATTTCAAGTTTTTGTGTTTCAGGGGTGCAAGGGGTGGTTGGCCTTGCCGTTGCGATGGGGCACCGACTTTTGCTTGGAGATTCGAGGGCTTCGGGTCTTACGGGCCTTAAGCTACAAGGTAAATGCGGCTTCCTTACCCGGAGTTTCATGTCTTCCTGACGGACCGAAGGACCCTGAACAAGTTTGGGGTTCTGTATTTGGTACCATAAGCCATAAGCCCCTCTCATGGCTGACTCGGTTCCCTCTGTTTGGAGCAATTGAACTTGAGAGAAGCTTCCGGCTCGGGATGAGGTGCCATCCCCGACCCGCACCCTTTCCTCCGCGAACCTATCGCTTTGAACTGTTGAGTGCGCAAGGCGAGCAGGGATGCGACCGCGTGCATGTGAAGCGCCTTGGCGGCTTGTGCGTCTGGCTGAAGGCTGTAGATTGATATTCGATGCCTTTGGAGATGCTGAAGCACGAAAGCTTGACCCATAAACTCCTCAAAACTGGTCGAAACTTCAGAGTGCGATGAGCAGGCGAACAGTGCCGGGGGCAAATCTTACCACCTTAGCAGCTTCTGTTACTGAATGTGAGGTCCATGACCGAGCGCTTCCCCGCCGGCGCAGAGAACTGTGACATGAGCTTCGCGCAGCCTGGAGCATGGACTTGGATTTTGAGTTTTTGTGTCGGCGTTGTTGGATCCGTGAGGCTTGAGGGCTGAAGCAGCAGGCAGATATGGGGACCCGCCTAACCTTTCGTCTTGAGCTGGACCGCTTGAAAGCCGAAGCCCTGGTTGCCTCTCGGGCGCGGTGAGACACCGCAAAGATGAGGCTTTTCAGCGCCGGCACTGACACGCTCGTGGAGCCACCCATCACGCGCTTCGACAAGGCCATGGGTTTCCGAAGCAGGGTTTCCCAAGAGGGAAAGGGGTGTAGGCATGACGAAACCGAGACCCCCAGATCGGAAGTCGGGTTGCCACCTCCAGTTTTGGGTCTGAAGTTCGTGAGCTCTCGCCTCGGATTCAGCATTAATGCTGCTGAGAGTTCAGGGTTGCAAACAAAGCACCCGAGAGACGCATCAGGCCTTGAGCACAGACGGACTCTAACTGATACACCAAACTGCAAAATTTCTCGGTCCCAGAATCAATGATTATTTTAAGCCGAGCAACATCTAGGGAGCTCTTCTAGCAGCCTCTGCAGTACTTGGCCTTAGATGCAGGTATTGGTAGAGCGTGCCTATAAATTCCCTGAGTTGTGCCCACCAGCCATGCGAAGTCCAGGATCTGTACTACTCGCCGGAGCGTGATGCCCCCATGCGTGGTTTGGCATACATCATGCATGGCCCGGATCTCGGATGCTGTTGGTATCAGACCTGCGGACGCTGGTTCGCTGCGGAGCCTTGCGATTTTCTTGGAGCCCGATCCGGGAGTTTCGGAATCGGAAAACAAAGGACTCAACGTAAACAGCCCCAAATCAAGAATTAAGATCCTTATTTAGGACCCATAATTGTTTAGGGCATGCAGCTGTGAGGAACCGTCGCTTCAACCCAGAAACCCCAAACCCTGAACCCAAAACCCTATCCGAATCCGGTTGCAAACCCAACCCTGAACTAATCCAGAAATCCAAAGCCCAAAGCCGTGACGCCGCCCCTTGTCAAGGTTCTTTTGTGAACGAAGACCAGCTAATAGGCGCCGGTGGTAGCTTCCCACAGTTTCCGGTTTCCGATGGCTTTCATAATTTTTGGGGTTTAGGGCTTAGGGTTCGGGCTGAGTTTTTGGGGGTTTGAGTTTATACTTGTTACTGGTGTATGGCTTGTGCTTCAGGGCGTGGGCACTTTTGCTGTTCGGCTCGGGAGCCTTCTTACTTCCCGCTTTGGAGATTGTTATTAAAAAGTATTATAGTGCTATTATTATTATTGTTATTATAGAATTATAATTATTTTAGTAAGGGGAGCAGAAGACCTTGCAGAAGGCCCAGGCACTCCTCATATCCCTCGAGGCATGAACTTGCCAAGCTGAGAAAGCCCAGCCAGGCTTTGACAACGACTTCTTCGGCATCGACCTCGAAGAAGCTCAGGCAGGGCCCACACCGTTGGACAACCGAGCTCTTGCATGGCAGGGGCTTCTCGGGAACCTTCGTTTGATGGAAGCTTTGCTTTGTCCTTGAGGGTCCGGAATGGGAGCCAGGACAGGGCGCGTACTACAAGTGGTGACCTGGGGGTCTCTCAAACCCTTCCAGCATCCCGGACCGCCGGCCCTCCTAAGATAGAGATCGTCGACGTCAAAACCCAAACACAGCGCAAACTCTTGAGGCGATCGCGCCAAGTCAAAGGTGGGTCCTCGAAGTGGGTTACGAGGCCCAAGCAACGTGGGGCAGCAGAGCTAGGACCTCTTCAGATCCGTAAGGGTGTCGGCTTCAAGCAGCTTTTTGACGAGGACGGTTGCATGTGAGGGGTAGAGGGTATGAATTATGGGGGTTTCGGGTTTAGTTGGGGTTGAGGTAGTTGAGGTAGCTGAAATGCAAGGCGAAGGCGCTGGTTCGCAAGGTGATGCATCCTTGCGGCGCTTTCCTTGCTACTGAAGGCTCAAAGGCCAGAGGCCCTTTCATTGTCCAAGCCAGAGGCCAACACCCCAGTGTGCCAGACTCCGTCTTTTTCGGTTGACTTCGTTGCAAGACGAAGCCCCAAGTCTTGCAGAACACATGATGAGAGTTATTCCATAATTCCCAATTGCCTTCATGGGTGAAGTGGTTTTCGTTTCATCAGGTGCTTTGGAAGGCGGGCTGGACGAAACGCGCCTTGCGAGGCCACTGCCATGTGACCTCTTTTCGACTGGTTCACTGTGCGTTCCGGGGGTTCGATCAGGGGTACACGAGGGTTTAGGGTTTCAAGGTCCGCAGTCTTGCCGTGAGTTTGCCTGCACTGTGCCATCCACCATCGTCATTCATCGGCAGGAAAACGGGTCGGCACGTTTATGGGCGATTCTGGCAGCGAGTGGAACCAGATCTATATGAGGCCGTGTACCTGTGCCTGTGCGTCACTTGCAGAAGGAGCGAACATCTAGCATCATCAGAGCCAATTGTTCATGTATCGAGAAACTTGGATCCCAATCCCATTGTCAGTGTCAGTTCTCCTTGCAACGCAAATCTTCTTAGCATGCGAGGATGTGCAGAACCCTTTCCGCAGCTCCTAACGTTAAGTAGTTAAGTGCACCTACCCCGAAGCCTTAAGCAAGAAAAAGAAGTCAATGGCGCTCCTGTCATCCATCTAAATCCTGTGCAAGGCAAGACCAGTATATGCTGCAGACTCAGAATGGGTCTATCACCTCGGAGTCGAGTGCCGTCTCACGTACCGGCTTTCGTTCGGAGCATGGAGCTTGCATGCGCAGCAATTGCTGAAAGAACTCTCTGGGCTTTGGATCTACTAGCTGGTCGATGTGAGCCTTCCATTTCAATCCCGAGCTTGCTTCGATAGTCTTCCATCTGAAATCAGTCATCCTGCCGAACTGAGGCTCACCAACAACTCGGGCTTCGTGACTTGCTCTCGGCTTTCGCATTGCCTCGGAGCCACGACTTGCATTGCAGATGTGTTTTTGGCCTCTCAGTCCGAGGGCTTGCGTTTTTTGGTCGTTGTCGCCTGCCCGGAAGGTCCCGAAAAGGCTTCATGGTTGACGCTCTTTGGAGTTGTGGGCTACATAAGCTTGACATTGATCGACATCTGTGGCCCGAGGCCTTCTATCCATAGTATGGTAGCTTTGGGGAACGCATGTCACCTGTCAGCAATAGATCAAGTTTGGATCATCACATCGAATAGCATCTACCTATAAAACCAGGAAGGAAACGAGGAAGGACGGACTGGAAGGCGGGCAGGCTGCACTGTAATTGCTGCCTTGTTGAGTTTCGCGAAGATCTGCGCCTGCCGTGTTCTCTCTCTCTCTCTCTCTCTCTCCCTCTGTACTAGGGCTGTTGGAATCCCAGCCTGAACACAATTCAGGACTAGGAGTCGGAGCGGCGGCGCAGACAGCAACCTTTGCCGGAGACCATACTAACTCCGCAAGGCCCCTACATACATGACCTCACAACACCAAGCCGAGGACTGACTGGCCCCAACGTCACGGCAACGTGGCGAACAGTTAATTGCATGATCCACAAGAAGGAAAGCCCAGAATTCCCAACTCTCTAAGGTACCTAGTCTTGGCAGAATGAAGCGGGACTTCCGGATTCGGCAACCCAGGTGCTCCAGGTTTCTGCTTTAGGGACCGCATGAGAACTTGTTACAGGTACGCTAAGTCGGCTAATCCTAATTCTGATCCTGCTTCAAACTTTCGGCCTTCGCGTGGAATTTCTCACAGGCCAGGCGCTTGCAGGCACCAGACTGAACCCCGCCAAGCTCTGAACCCTACACGGAAACTCCCAAATCACCTTCAAGACAAAGCTCTAAACTTATGCCGTGCCCTCCGAGAACACTTTCAGCCGTATGCCATTGTAAACCCCCAGCTAGCTTGCAGCTGAAGAGCTGAACATCCCCGGTGCCTGCATACGGCCGCATTTAGGATAACCGCACGGTTGGTGTGAAGGGTCTCACTGTCTCATTATTGGTGTGCCTGGGATGGGCTTACATCTAAAAGGATGGAGACTGCGAACCTTGCTTTGGAGTGCCCTAGAACTAGCGGACACTATTGTGACGCTAAGGTGGATACAGCTTGTTCTGCTTCTTTGGTCGCAACGAACGCTGCGGCACATATGATGGTGAGGCAGATACTTGTGACCTGCGATCTGGTGTTGCTGTTGTTTCTCTGTTCAGCGGGGGTCGTTTCCGGTTCAGAGGAGTCGTCGTTCCGTGGTTTGGGCTCTTGCAGGCCTGGATTCGCGAAACACTCCCGCCACATGGACTTGCCCATACCGGAAATTTCATGTCCATGTTTCAATCCTGAAGTCCACCCTCTACCCACACACGAAACCTGAACACCCTGCCTGCAAAAGGATTCTGTGTCGGGCCATGTAGTCTGGCACCTTCCCAGAACATCGACGATGCGTTTGGACGGCTACATGCATGCGTATCCTGCAGGAAGCTCCTGGTACCAAACTCCCTCCGCTTTGGCGACTTTTTTTGCGTACCACGATCGGCAGGCGGCACACGCGCATCGGAGAGAAGATTGCGCCGCTGAGCGAGGACAGGGAAGATGTTGGGAAGTCCACGGCGTCAAGCTCAGGGGCATTGAGGCGCTGATACCTCAAGCGCTCAGAAGCCATGCACATGCGTCGCGAGTGAACTGCGCCGTGACAGCTGCCATCATACGCCCCCCAACTGGGTGCGCCAGAATGTACAGCGATGGAAAGAAGTGACACCTGATCCTGTAAAGCCCAATACGAACGCCCTTCAGGACAACATGAAGGACCAGGCGCAGCTGAAGTATGCCGTCTGCATGGGCGTGCTGGCCCCCTGGCCGCAACTAGCAGGGGTGGCCGCTGCCTTCCAAAGTGGTGCTGTTGCTGATTGCAGCATGTCTACATGCTCCGCGTGCCAATTGCGAGAAGCTCAGGTGATGCTACATCCTGCCGGCTGGATTGGCGAATGTGCAGCGACGATGTTGTCCTACAAGGGGCGTGCAGGGCTTGGCTTCTCTTGCAGCGCCTGAAGCCCTTCAGGATCATGAGCACGCACAAGACCCGTAAGTTGCAGGAACCACAGACGGAAGGTCCAAGCACCGGTCAAGTCAGATCTCCTGAAGAGGTGCTTTCACCTTCGACGTCGGTGCGGACGGATTCATCCGCGGAGAGGCTTGAAGATGCCGTCACCAAGATCCCAGGTTTGCGTAGCTGTTTCAAATTTTCTGGAGATCTGAAGAAGCGAGGCATCGGGAAATAGTGTCAAGGCCCTGCTGGGCTGGGGTGCTTGAGATCAGCCTGACACGAAGATAAGATGCACCAAGACTCCCAACGGACGGCCGAACCCCGATGAAGGGATGTTAGCGGGACGGGAGGCTACGGCCAGAACAAATCCGGCGTTCCGAGGGCTGGATTCATCCTGCAGTGGCTGTCCTGAGCGGTCTGAGTCGTGTCGTCTTTCCAGGGCTGCTGCGGAGTGCACTTGGCTGCAGAGAACGATGCCGAGCGGGCGGCTGGAGAGCGGAGCCTGGCGACCCTCGGAGCGACGAAAGTGGGTCTGGGTGTTGGCTTCACGGCCTCAGAGCGCCAGATGGATTTTGATGCCGTGATGTAGAGCTGCTTATGACGGGTGAGACAGCTGACGACTCCCACCTGAACACGAGGGAAGGATCCTTTGCTTGCATCTCGCTGCGGTTCACCTAGGATCGTCATGGGCAGCTGTGCCAACCAGGCACCTCGGCAACTGCTGCGCAGCGAGTGTCCTACTTGTAGCACAGCTACCATGAACACCGACGACACGACCTTCCAAACGTCCCAGCACCGATTCTGTGAGGATGGCCGATCTGCTTCGCTGACAGCACCGCACGGCCCTTCGCAGCAGACGCCCGCTCTGGAATAAAAGGGTTTCCCATTTTTGGCGTCCTTTGCGGTGCGTTTCAAGCCTTTTAAGCTGTACCCTGAAGCCTGAGAAGCTTCAAAGGGGGCCCAGGCCAGGGCCCTAAGTTCCTTGGAGCCTTGGAGCTGAAGCCAAAAGCGGCGAAAGCTGAAGGATGTGCATCCGTGCGTCGCTGGCAGAGGCTCGGCTGTCGCCGGGAGAGGCCGGGAAGAGAGGGAGGCTACACAGCTTGATCATGAGAGTTCGTCAAGCTGCGGGAACTCGGAGATGTTGGGCCCGGGCCAAGTCCTTGAGCTCTGCAGACCCTCCGTTCTTTTCTTGCTGCGTAGGGTCTTGGAGTTCTGCTTAGCTCAACTGCTATCATCTGGATGATAGCGGGAAGTGCTGATCCACATCCTCAGATTGTCAGGCTCACTCGCAAGAATTCATTCTAAGGGTAGCTTTAACTGCGAGCTTGAGGCAGTTTTGCCTTCCACCAGCCATAGCCAAATTTCACCACGCAAGCATGATGCAGAAGCCCTGCCGTCCCCATGGACTCGGAACACCGGAACGAGGTGCAAATCGGAGAATGCCACGGCACCGGCACTGCCCTTGGAGATCCCATCGAGATCGGTGCCATGAAGTCCGTGCAGCTCCTTGGGCCTCCTTTAAGACCTGAGCAAGAGATGATAGGAGCTGGGAGTATACTTCACTACCTTATTATTCTAACCCTAGTTACTAAGCCCTAGAAACTATGAACCTTTAAGTACTATTCTACCTCCACACAGCAGGTTTCTGTCGTCTTTGGTTTGGGCTGTGCAGCAAGAGCATTGGCTCAGACGAAGAGCAACGGCCACTGGGGCAGGGATTAGGGAACATCATCAGGGCTACCGTATCAGGCAGTCCCGTAATTTCAGTTGGAGGCGATGTTACTGTTGGGGTCCCCTGCGTTTCGGGCTGTAGAGAACTCTGCCTTCTTTGTGGTTTCCGAGGATGGGCAAGCGAAATGACAATCCCCTTCTCCACGCCTCCGCGAAGTCCAACGTCGGCCACGAGGCGCCGAGAAATCAAGCCTGCGAAGGGTCTACGACGCGCGACAAAACCGAAACACACTCCGAAGAAGAGCTCGAAGCCTGAAGTCGATCCTTGGGGCGACCTCGCCCCGGACCCTTGCTTGTCCCTCTTATTGACGAGCCAAAAGCCGAGACGCCTAGTTCAAGTTGAGGATTCGTTGAAGCCATTGTCACTGCGCAGGAGGCAAACGCCGGCACCTGTGGTTTCATCAAGGCATCCTGGCGCATCGCAGCGTCGCATCCCTATCCGGCCCACAGCAACCGAAGCGACTAAGACTCAGGTTGTCATGCTGCTGAACGGCGGAGCCGCCTGGAAGCAATCCCAGCACCTCTCAAGCTCCTTACCATCGTTGCTTCATTCTGATGGATGACGGTGATTCATGTCTTCAGTCTTTCCACTATACTATACTTGGGGTTGATCGTGGCCCTGCCGAAGGGCTGAGGCCTTGCCCTTTCACCCCTGTGCTGCTGAGCGAGTGAGTGAGTGGGTGAATGAGGGAGAGCGGGAGAAAGGGAGGGAGGGAGGGAGGGACGGTTCAGAAGCATTATCTCATCAGCTCAAGTCCCTTTGGAACGAGTCGTGTTGAGTGGTGTTAGACGCACGAGTCTTCATAACAATGCAAGTAGAACAGTATGTAGTATTGTTTACATACACTATGTAGCACGGATGTCTAGCTGTTTACCTGCGGCGCATGTTTCATGTCTCCGTAGTTACGGCTCCACTCTCTGTGACATCGCATTGCGTCGGTGTTTAGGATTCGCCCTGCGTGTGCTTGTCTGACATGAACAGCATCGCTCCAGGTGTCCCGGAGTCCTTGTCGGTACTGCCTAGTGGCCTAGTACTGCCCGTGTGACATAGATCTTCCAATCTCCTTCGATGCACATGACGCACACGATGCACATGAAGCACACGATGAGAGCCTGTCTGGAGAAGGTCTCGACGCCGAATCCACATCTGACGACCTTGAACCCTCACCTGGATGTCTCGGCATACCCGGTGATGTTCACAAACGCGCCCTGGACTGGGTTCAGGGAAGGGCTTGCGTTGCGACGGAGCAACATCCCACGTTGAGGGCCCGTACTTCGGTGCTTCGCGTGTTTCGTCATTAGAGTGTGAGCCAGGCCGATTGATTCGGGCCCTTACTCCACCCAAACCATACCCTCCACATCGTCGAGAGCTCATGGACGCCATCCTGGGTTCGTTTGGTAATCGATGACAACCAAAGCAGGTAATATAGAGTCTGTTGAGTCTGAGTAGCTAACTCACAGCATCACCTTAAGGTCGCTGTATGGCCAGTTGTTTGGTTGGCCCACTTTACAGAATCGCTTCACTTCAGCGAGCGCAGGTTGTGGACCCGGCTACGCCAGAACGTACGTCTACCTACAGTACTATTTTCGGACGTAGTATGTAGGTATGAGTAGGGATATATGGAGGATCCCAACAATTCTGCAATACGAGTTGTTGGTTTCTGGCACTATTAATACCACGAATTCCACGCGTTCTGCGAGCTGTCGTCTGAAGCAACAGAGTCCAACCGCACCCAGCTCCTAGTCGCAGAAATCCAGAAAGCTCTCGCTCGGTGTGACTGCCAAGGAGCTCACCTGCTCATCGCATCGAGAGCCTTGACTAGAAGTCAGGATCGCGACGAAGTCAGGAGAGTGTCTTTTGTTTATCATTCCAAGCCAATCTCAGAATTTCGGCCCCCAGGACCAGGGAGCTGCAGGAAATCCCAAACCCCAGACGGGAGTCGCGGCCAGGCCCACCACTGACCTAACTCGCCGAGGACATGTGCTGCGGTGTGTCGTCGTTTGGCTTCGGGGGTACCAACAGCCGGGCGGACATGCAACTTGACATCGAAACGACATGTCAATGTTCGGTTGGTAAACGTGAATCCGAGATGAAGCAACCGTCAGGTTTTCAGCTCTGGCTGTGCATTTCGTTCCTCCTGGAACTCATCGGGCCTAGAACATGGGTATATTCAGTGATTGCATGTAGCGACGTAAGCACTAAACATATTGGGGAACAGCATGTACCCCACAACATCACTTAAAGGAAATGTGCGAACCCCAATCGAAATAAGTCTATTCGAAAGAAGAAGCGCTCGAACCTCATTCGATATACCTTCGAATAACTTATTTCGATTGAGGGTCACTTCGAAAAGTACTGTTCGGTTTGTAGAGGACTTGAGGCGTATTTTGATTTTGGATGCAGAGGCTGTCGGGATTATAGACCCTTTCATACGAGCCCTTTAAGGGAAACCTACTCCAATCATTAAGGCCTTTGCTTTAGAACCCTATTTTAGTATTTAGAATGTTATAGATCCCTGGTAGAGCTCAGAGCCGAAGCCTCGAGCAGACACTTCCCGGAATTTCTTAGCTTTGGTTAGAAGGGAATGGAGGAATGGGGCACAATTATAGCAGCAACAACAACAACTACTACTACCACTTCTACTTCTACTACTACTACTACTACCACTTCTACTACTACTACTACTACCACTTCTACTTCTACTACTACTACCACTTCTACTTGTACTACTACTACTACTTTTTTTTCATTCGTCGCGTTGGTGTCTAGTCAGACGCTCGCCTGGCATACTGAATTCAACTCACAGAAAACGGGTGAAACGGGCTCGGGTGCCTGGAAAGTCACTCCCTCAGTGGTAAAGGTGCCGCCTATGGCACGCAGCCATTTGGCTGCCGGTCCTAGAGCTACCTCAAGTCTTCGGCATCGCACCTGTCGCGCAGCCTGTGGGCCTCCTTCCAGGCAGCGGGCAAGACACAAGCAAGTTTGCTCCAGCCACGTCGCGTACGCCGTGGCATGACGCAGTGGCACGCTGCGAGGCTGGTCCGGAGGTAGAGTGCATGTGGGAGGAGATTCGACGGCAACAAAGGGGAGGTCGCCCGCGAAAAGCAAGGCCTGCGCGGGGAAATCCGGCCAATGTGGGATCACATCAGTCGGGCATGTGGGCTTGGGCCGAGAGACACATTTCTCCTCGCCGATGAGTTCGGGATCGAGGAGGAGCTGGATGTTTTCCGCAAGTTCAGCGACTTGCTGGTCGCTGGGGTGTCGGTCGGCCCATCGTCGCACCGTGGCGCGCAGTGTAGTCAGCGGCTCAATGTGATCGACAACCGTCGCCCAGAGCGCATCTTCGTCACGATCCGCAACCTCAAGAGATTGCAGGAGGGATGTGGAAATGCCCGGTTCAAAGTCCAGGAGCGGGGCCCCTCCAACAGATCCCGCAACTTGGTAGGGAGGAGCTTGCACGTGCTGGCCTCCAGGGCAGGCATCATCAGGCTGGAATACACCCCAGCTGCGTAAGCATGCACTGCTGTAGACAAGATGTCGTCGCAATCGCCCTACCGAGGAGTAAAGCTTGCCGCAGCCAAGGCACAGAGGAGGGCCGCCCGTTTTGCCAAGCAGATGGGCATGCGTGCGGTAGCCGTGTACGCGCTGAGCATGGCACGACCATGCGACTTTGCTGCAGAAAAGCCTGCGGCATGGCAAGCATGCTTCCGTCCAATTCACCTCCTGCTCCGGGGCCATGGGGCGGCCTGACAAGCGAAGACAAATTGCCCGATACAGCCCGTCCAGGGCTGCCACCACCTGGTTGCGCCGACCTTCCAGGGCCTGTGCACGTAGGCAAAAGCCTTTGAAGCGTTTGGGCTGTTCCCGGCAGCAGTGCACCCAACTATCCCAGTCCTGGTCAGGGTCAGGAAGAGGACTGGTCGCATGCACCCACCTATGCAGCCACCGAGCTGAGGATTGCAGGGCTTCCGCATACGGTCTGTCCTGCCGTATCAATGCCCAGAGGGCCGGTGGTCCTGTACGGACCAACTGGCCAAGGTATTGCAGGCGCTGAGTATGCAGAGTGACCCCAGGCCCCGGGAGCTGCGTGAGTGCTAGGACCGCAGCCGCACTGAAATGCTGGTCCGCAGTACGTGGAATGCAGAGGACTTGACGGTACAAAGCCCACAAGGAGCCCGCAAAGAGGCTGTATTCTCCGGCGGACAGCGGTGGCCAAGAGCCTGCTCCGAAGAGCAGTTTCGGGAGGACCGACGATCGCAGGATGTAGACCTTGCGCTCCAGCGGCACGCCCGGCGCCTTGAACACCTTCCTACGGCCTTCTTGGAAGGCACTGCGTGCCTGTCCATTGCGGTAGGTGAGTTCGGCTTGCATGCCCCCTCCAATGGCATGTTGGACCCCCAAGTGTCTGTAGGTCGGTACCAGTGGGAGGCCGAGGGGAGAGGCATGTTCCCGCAAGGCTGTGACAACACCGTTTTTGCCTGCTTTGGAAAACAAGGCTCGCCGTGTCTTGCGAGTGCCTGGTCCGGCCGGTTGTGCCATTGCGGCTGTTTTGCTCACCCCCATCGAGAGCTTGAATCCATGCTCAGCAAAGGCATCACCCAATGCTCCGACGCAAGTCGCTAGGCTCGCGGGGAGCTGTGCTGCGGAGGCACACTGCCGTAAGGAGGCCAGGTCATCGGCCCACACTAGGTCATCGACTGAGAGAACCCCGGACGAGGCATGGCAAGGCTGTAGAGAGATCCCGCCATCCCACGGGACAGCTGGCACATAGCTGCCGGGATAGGTCGCCTGCATGAGTGCATCACGCTTCTGCAGCACCCTGTCGATCACAAAGGCAAACAGCAGGTCTGCCCAAGAAGAGCCGGGACGCGACCCTCGAGATGTCACGACTGGCGTGTCATCATGCTGAAGGATGAACCAGGTGCCTTCCGTAAGGCGGGCCGAGAGCGATTCGAGCCAGCGGGAGCAACCCGCTCGTTGCAGGGCCGAGTCGTCTGCCGCATGAGCACGCAAAAGCTCTAAGTCTTCGGCAGGAAGGTCAATGCCCGCGATGTTAATGCCTCCATCCTGATCTCGTTGGTCTGCCGGCTTGGCGACAAGCTGACGCGCTACAGAGTAGAAGGCCGAGGAGATATCGGCGTACAGGACAAAGCATGTGGCGCCCGTGGCGCGTGACCAACGGAGGAAGCTCCGCACAATGTGCGCTCCATAGACCACGCTCTTTCCGGGCTTTCCCCCTATTTGCAGTTCTGGCGTGGCTGTGACGTACAGCTCGCGCAAGGCAGGCCGCAGTGCCTGATGCATGCTCTTGGCCAGAGTCGAAAGCAGGAGGATCTGCCGGTATGAGGCTGGGTCCTGTTGAGATCCCTTGCCTTTCCAAAACTTCACCGCAAGGCCTCCTTTGAGGCCAATGCCTTCCGTCCCACGGAGAGCTAGCTTGAGGAGGAGTGGGAAGAGGGCACGGCCCAGCAGCTGCGCTTGACTTCTAAGAAGTTCTCCCGGCAGCATATCGGGTCCTGGAGCCTTGCCCGTTTTAGCAGCTGCCATCATCCGCTGGAAGTCGGTGGGTCGAGGCAACTGCAGAACATCTGGAGGAGGTGTCCAGGCATTGGCAGAATTGATCAGAGAGAGGAGGTCACTGGGGAGCTGGCTCAGGGAAGACTCCTTGCCGCCCTCCATCGCACTGAAGTGGTCTCGCCAGCGCTGTCTGGCTGAGCTGGCATCACTGCAGATGGCTCCCGTCGCGTCCCGAACCTGCGGAAGAGGCTCAGGTGCATAAGGCTTCTTGCGGCGATGATGCAAAAGGCGGTGCAGGGCCTGGTAGACTTCACTGGTGGGGCAATGGGCAACCTTGGCCGCTAGTTCACTGACATACCTATCCCTATCGTCTCTGCAGGCACGTCTGAGCCGTTTGCAGAGGCGGTTGAGCTGGCATTGGTGGACCAGTTCCTGCAGGGCCGCACGCGACATCCACCAACAGAGGAGTGGGCTGTCTGTTGCCTCAAGTGCAGAGGGATTGGGGCCCATTCGCCAAGCACTCAGACACACGGCCAACAACTGCATGCGGCGATGGGCCCGCAGGCGATGGAGTGAGCGGCGCCACCACGTGGTGGAGCGTTGCAACTCCCAGGTATCGGCAGTGATGTACGCGTGGTGTGGCTTGGTAGCTGCCGTGGCTTGGATTTGTGTGAGGCTGGCTTGCAGGTGTGACACCACAATGGCAGCATGGGCATGTGCCGATACGCCCCAAGACACTGCAGGCAGGCGCGCAATAGCAGTAGCAACACGGCCAGCATAGGCAGGGTCCCGAAGCGTGCTAGCG